AAGTAAAGTGACGTATGTAATGGGTGGTGTATGAGAATCAGAGTTGGTGCAGTCGGACTGATGTATTTCACTGATCATCCCAGTCTATAAGAAGGGAGAGTTTTCTTGTGACAGCCATAGGGGAATCAGTTTGACTAGTATTATGTCCTAGATCCTGGGCTCAGTTATCTGACGCCTAACTTGAGCTCGAAAACAGAAAACTGGAGAAAATCAGGCAAGTTTCAGACCTGGACGAGGGTGCATCCATCATACTTTTACCTTTTGACAGGTTCTGGAACACAGGCATACCTGCCGGCCAGTGGCTGACACTTACTATATTTCATGACCTGAAGGGGGCATTTGACTCAGTCGACCGTGAGTTGTTGTGGTAGTATCTGACTGTGAAGGGATTACAGGGGAAGTATATAACACGAATGAAAGCTCTCTACTCGAACTCACGCAACCGTGTATTGGTTTATAGAGAATTGTTGTGTGAATCGACGACAACTAGTGGTGTCGGCCAGAAATTTCCACTATCATCGTTCCTATTGAACTTCGTCATAGACGCAGTAATAGACATGACCTTAAGTACGTCTGACTTCACAGGGAGTGACCTACTCCCTGGAGGTCATCTGGTTGACTTGGAGAATGCAGACGATATTATCCTGCTAAGTTAAGACCCTGAAAAAATCCAGGGTCTTTTAGATGGGTTGGGCGAAAATCAGAATATGTTTGGATTGCTTTTCGCCGTCACCTGTCAAATGTAAGATGACGCTCCAGGACTGGTCTGCTGCAAGTACTCCACCTTATTGAAAGGGAGTGAAGTGGTGGAATGTGTTTACCGCTTCACTTACTCGGAGAGTTGCATCTGTCCGAACGGGTTCGTTGCTGACGAACTCTCACCTTGAGATACAGAGGTTTCGTTTTTCGTTTGCCAACTTGCGTCATCTGTGAATCCGACTGGCGAGATATCCGACTATCAATCAAAGGACAAGTATACTACGCTGCAGTCCACTCTGTCTCGTTGTACGACTGACATAACCGTTAAATGTAGAAAACAGCAAGGGGTTGCTGGCGTTTGATCATAGGTGTCCTCGTAGCATTGCTCGCGTTTGGTGGAATCACAGTGTGAACAAAGTTGAGGGTACACGGCAAGATAGGCAAGTCTATTGGTGAGGTTGTGAATCTTCGTAGACTGAGGTGGTTTGGAAATGTATTGCGCATACCAAGCCACCGCCTACCTCGACGAGAAGTTGTATTAAGTTCGAAGAGGGTTCAGCGTAGTCAGACCGAGATGTGGCAGTGGTATTAGTCGTGTGGGGTGATGTAGGCTGCCTGATTGTAGTTTTTGAGACGACAAGAATCAGTGGTTGGGGACTTGGTGACATGGCTAAAAATCGGTCACAATGATGCAGATGTATTCACTGCATGACATCTTCTGAAGCTTGAGTATTCACAGTATCCACTATCTTCAGATTTTATCATCTTACACTTCTTTGATATCACTTTTCCTACCCGCCTACTCTTTGTATACTGCTGTGAAGTGTGGCAACTTGAGCCGATCCACTTCTGTACAAGGTTCTACGTTGATTTTGTCAGTCAATAAGGTACGTTTAGCTAAATTTTTACGTAACCCAGCTAAAAGTTTATCGGGATATCTAAATAAGTGAAACAAGTGAGAGGAACTCTGCTGCTCAAAAGCTATGCTGAATCTATTCAGAAATTCATAACGACTTACGAGCAAGTGAGAAGCAGTGATACGAGAAATGGTTGCAAAACAAGTAAGAAGGGACTTAAACCGTCTGTAGTGTTGCGATATGAGCAAGGGGCATCAAAACCTGTACTCAAGATTCTCATTAAATCTAGTGTTAAGGTGACATTCTAACCTGTAAGTTTACTCAGAGACCACGTTTTTCGGCGTAAAGGTTGATCGAATTGAGTCTACCTAATACTGTGCAATGACAGTAAAGTCAAGCATGTAGGTCAATCTAGCTAAACGGGATCATTTAGGTTAGCAAAGCCTGGGGAGTTATCTAAGTCTAGGGTAAAAGACTTGATTGAAATAAGTGATGTAGCAGAGAATTCAATCACAACTTTGAATATATAGCACAACTAAATAATAGGGCTGGACAAAATAACAGTCGTAAAGACTAATGTAACTAGATCGAGCGGATCCTCTTCGCTTTGAATCAACACTAAACACATACGATATAATCGACTAAACTCCAGTTCAAGATATAAGGAAATTCTGCTACTAATTTAATCAAAGTATGGGAAGTAATATAGCCATGTAAGCCAAACCAGAAAGTCGTGTGCACACCTCGGTATGAGTATGAGCAATAAATTGTATTAGAAATGTTATCCAGTAAACGATACTGTATCGCTATGCTATATCAAATAAACTTATTTTATGTGGAAGTACAATACTTCAGTGCCCAAGCTCAGTGCATCCACTGAAATGTTTTTTAAAATTGTTCTTAGAATTCGAAGTTATAGAGAATATTTATTGCCCAGGAGAAGGACTTTATGGTATTGAGTTCTTTGAGCAGGATGATATTGTAGCAACTTTTCCATTATCGTTCTAGATAGCGTCATCAGTAAAAACTTTAATAAAATGTGATCTATGAAAATTTCTCCGAAAGTGGATAAGTAGCTTGTCCTGATGACATTGTGTGTGATCAGTTGTTTCTGTTGTAATCTTGTAGGTTTGTGCACGTATTTTGGTTGCCTACCCGGATGACGTTAACTTTAACCTTTTTACTTCTTAGGTTTCATGAAGAGTAGTAGATTGGGTGGATGCCAGTAGGTCTGTTGATTGCTGATTCTACTGAGTGGGAAACTTTGAAAGTTCTATGGTATTTATATTCACTCTACTCACAATTTTCTCGACCGAATTCATATTCACAATTATGTATATGCGTCGGTACTTCACTGCTAGTTGGTGTTCGTGTAGAAAAACATGAAGTGTTCGATATAGTTTTTCTTATCGCGCTTCTCTTCCTATGCTATTGTGTCTTCCAACATAGATAACATAGAATAGAGAGATTTTGTAGGTCCGTAAGCCTAAGAGATTCTGAAAGACATCAGTAATCTAGTTGTCATTCCTGACACGTTCTTCATGTATGTTAAGACAATCCATCTGTTGGTTTCCAATGCCGACACTCAATTTCATCAGAACAAGCTATCAATCAAATTGCAGAGAAATTCTCATAGCTCACTTCTTTTTAAAGTTTTTGCTGATGATGTTGTTTAGAATGATAGTGAAGGTTTCACAACTGAGCCACGCAGTTCAGAGAACACAACATCGAGGTGAAAAAAAGTTTCAGCACCCATATCCATATGTGTCCGTAGTTCACCTCTGTACCATTCACGTCACTCACAATTAACTGGAATCTGCACTTCTAATGTCACCATGCATTTTATGGTGAGTTAAACATGAAGTTTATTTTCAGTCCCTAACTCTACAGGTCTTTTTGCAGATATAAGAATGATGTTTCTGAATTATCCAGTTGACTGATTATTTTCAACACTACAAATTCCGGCTTTATATATATATATATATATATATATATATATATATATATATATATATATATATATATCAACGGGAGAAACTTAAAGGAAATAGCCTCCTTCACCTATCTAGGCAGCACTGTTTCAACTACAGGCGGCACAGACGAGGACATCAAAGTCAGCCAGGATCGGAAAAGCTAGACAGGCGTTCATTAGCCTGAAACCAGTGTGGAGATCTTCTGCACTCCACTCAGCATGTGGAACAAGATCCGGACTTTCAACACCAACGTCAAGTCAGTGCTTCTGTTTGGTTCAGAGACTTGGCGCGTTACGAAGGGGATTTCCAACAAACTACAGACATTCATCAACAACTGCCACCTACACTGGCTCGTTACTGAAGATCAGATCAGATGGCTAGGATAATATGAATAAGCAACAAGGAACTCTGGCTGGCTGGCTGGCTGGCTGGCTGGCAACGAACCAACCAAGAAGCTATCGCTCAACAAATATGCAGAGGAATAAAGTGGAGATGGATTGGGCATACACTGAGAAGGCCGAATGGGGACATCACGCGCCACGTCAGGCCAGGCCCTTAAGTGGAACCCAGATGGAAGGTGACGAGTTGGGCGTAGGAGGCGAGGATGACATGGAGGAGATCATGTGAGGAGGAAATGAGAGCTTATGGGCTGTCGTGGAGCCAGGTTGAAAAGATTTCAGAGAACAGAGTTCACTGGAGACATGTTACTGAAGCCCTATGTTCCATTAGGAACCCAAGGGACAATAATAATATTGATTATATATATATATATATATATATATATATATATCGTAGTATTAGCCAGTACGCTTTTCTGAATTCTTCAGCTACACTGATACATTAACAACTAGGACTGATTCTTTTATCAACCTTAGGTTAACTGCGCAATGTAGGAGACAACGGTTGTGGACGAGTTTCATTTTCGGAAAATGTATACTTATGATGATGTAAATCTGCACGTAACTACAAATTTTCGAAACAAAGTAAAATACTTTTAGATGTCGATACTTGCTATCATGTAACTTAACGAATGTTCTCCAATCTTCTTGTGATGTCTTTTTGTTTCTGAGTCCGATGAATTTGTATTTAAGTAAACATAAATCTCTCACCTAATTCATATAAGTGTTACCAAATTACCATCGGGATGCGGAATTCAACTTTTTAAGCCAGGAATACAACACACGTTTCGTTTGATCTACTTGTTATCAATATATAATGTGATGTGGTCTCATGAACCATTTTTCTTTGTGTAGTTTATCAAACACAGCGAAAATTATAAATTGTTTTCCAGTGAAAAATCTGTTTTTTTTCGGTTAACCGCTTTTCCATATATCTCTTGAAGTGATGTTTAATAGATAGAATAAGTTAACAGTGACTAGGTATCCGTTGTGATAAAATTTTTGTTTAGTGTTTATGCAGCAAAAGGAAGTTCGCTTTCTGAGATGATGTTTACTCTCCCTTGTTCTTTCAGTTTTTAAAGAATGGTCTTAGCAGAACTAGGAAGAAAGATAACTTCAGCGCTTCGATCTTTGGGCAATGCTACCATCATCAATGAAGATGTGTTAAATAGTTTACTGAAGGAAATATGTACTGCACTGATTGAAGCTGATGTAAATATTAGACTGGTTAAACAATTGCGTGAGAATGTTCGTGCTGTAATCGACTTCGATGAAATGGCAGCTGGATTGAATAAACGTAAAATAATCCAGTCTGCTGTATTCAAAGAGCTAGTTCACTTAGTCGATCCACAGGTTAAACCTTGGCAACCTACAAGAAGTTCTTCAAATGTAATTATGTTAGTTGGTCTACAAGGTAGTGGTAAAACAACCACAGCAACTAAATTGGCCTATTTTTATCAAAGGAAAGGATGGAAGACATGTATGATATGCGCGGATACGTTTCGTGCTGGTGCTTTTGATCAATTGAAACAGAATGCCACAAAAGCTCGTATTCCATTCTATGGTTCGTATACGGAAACTGATCCAGTTGTTATTGCTCGAGATGGTGTACAAAAATTTGCGGAAGAGAAATTTGAAATTATCATCGTAGATACTAGTGGTCGGCACAGACAAGAAGATTCATTGTTTGAGGAAATGCTTCAGGTTAATTATTCGTCTTTGTCTATTGTATAGTACGATCATTATTCTTTCCAATCACTTTTCTATCTATTATTTTATTCAATGAGGATTTCTATGAATGATGTAGCTGTAGTTGTAGCATTTGGTACACCATTGGCACCGGTAGCAAGGAGTTCTTTAAGCGTACATGAAACATACCTTTTAAGCTCTTATATATAAAACTTATCCCAAGCACTACATCAGGATTTTATATGATATATCAAGATTTTCTAAGACCCTAGGTGATTATGCATATTTAATTAGCATTGAAATGCAAATTTTGGTGGTAAGCTGAAGTTGTATGCGTATCTTTAAAGTGGCTAAGGAAGATATCATCCTAGGGAGCAAGCACATTTTTAATAACTCACAATGTTACTTACCGGTCAAAAATTCAAGCAGTAGCAAGTTAATGAGTGTTATGACAGAAGTGAAATGTTGATGTTCATCATGAACTGATATCAGTTGGAGAAACACTGAAAATTTGGGAGCACTGGACAGATGTTTTGTCCTAGTATGGGATTCCTCAGCAGTGCGTACCCATGGTCCAACCCGCCAGGGGTCGAACCAAGGACCATGAAATAGTATTGCTCATATACAGATATCATGGAGTCACTTATTATTTAAAAAAAAAAAACTTGATCCACCGTAGATACCAAGAAATATATGATTGTGTGAAATTGTATGCATAGCTATGCAGAACTTTCCTCTTAGATTCTTTATCCTATTAGGATCTACTAATTGTGATTTAGCTCAGCTTTTGTGCTCATACAGCGTAACTGTGACCCTATTCGGCTATTTTGACCTCTACATTTGACTTTACAGTCATCATAAGCTATCCAGTAAGCTAGTTTACTTCGCATAATTGGATCAATATAATCTTTTAGTCTACACAGCTCGTTTCTAAATGAGTCTTTAGATTTAAATGACAGTCTACTCTCAGCTCTATTGCGAGGTTTCCCTAACGTTTCTTAGATGCCTTCCTTTTGTGGTAACACTGAAGTGGTTTTGAATTCTCTTCTGTGTCGCTGTTATTATTACTACTACTATCACTGACACTTGTAACTACTTTTTTTCATATTTTATTTACAATTTCATATGAATTTATTGATAAATGAACAAATGCACCCTGAATGCAGATATAGAAACAATATGATGAGTAATTCCATACAGATTTCTAGCGGTTTATGCCTAGTTAGTGAAAGGAAGTTTGTGTTTACGCCTTGAACTGTTCATTATAGAATTTCCGATCACTGGTTATGTTAAGGCCTTAGCATCCAGATGAAAGTACGGGATTATAGCACAAGACTACTCTGAAATCATTGACGTTGGGTGTAATCCATCGAGAGCAACAAAGTAATACACCATGTGTTTCCCAGTGGACGGAACAGGTTTATACGCTATTTATGCTCTTTGGATCCCGAAGTTCATATGGATTACCGTTTAGATATTAAGGTCTTTCAACCATTCTAGATAGACACCTCATATCTATCACCCTAGTTTAAACTTTTATACTTCTATTCACTATTCAGTCAGTGCAGCATAATAATCATATGCATGTTTGTGTATCAAACTATAGCCCACATTAATTCTCTGAGATGCGATGCTAGTAATCAGTTTGAACTTATGACATTGCTTAAAATGTTGAATGTTTAAAACCTCTTCCCATGGAATACTATTATTTTCTTTATGACTTGATTGCCAATTTCAAGGTTATTATGCTTTAGAAAAAAACTGACACTGCATTACTACTCATTGGAAATTAATAAAACGATGGTAATTTGTCAAAATTATGCGATTTCCAAGTAGGTGGGATCTTGTTTCAACTGTTAGTAATATAGTGTCCCATTTCCACACGTTCAAAGTAAATCGTAGCTAATTGAGATTCATCTGTAACTGCGGTGTATATAGCCTAAAATTTTGTTTGTTTAGTGAAGAATATTTACCTTATATATATATATATATATATATATATATATATATATATATATATATATATCAGCCAATCTATCAGTTAATATCATGTTGCCATACCTTACATCACCACACTAAGATACAAAACGGAAGGGTGAAAGGTACAGAAATAATGGGAGGGGGATCTAATTCACAGTTATAGAGAAGAAGAGGGCTGAAGCAATAAAGAAATGCAATACGATGATGTATAGATGCATGTGTGTGCCATTGAGATCGGTTCTGGAACACACAACCTAAAGTCCCTAACCGCGAGTTTCAATTATTGCGTTGACTCCAACCAGAAAGTCTGCATTTCTTCCTACACTTCATGCAGCAACAATCAGAGACTTCATAGGGCGATAGCACTTTTGAATTAGACCACCTTTAACCTTTTCCTAACCCAACCTATTTCACTTAACTTGGTGCACCTTCGGGTTATTCTGTTTAAAGTGTTTATTTGTATGAAAACACACAGTATGTGTACTGTTTATGATAATGTTGGGGTACGCGAACATGTATTCTATTCTCTTTTAGGTTTCAAATGCAATCGAACCTGATCATGTAATCTACGTTTTAGATGCATCTATTGGTCAGGCTTGTGAAGCACAAGCCAGTGCATTCAAAGCCAAAGTAGATGTATCATCGGTTATTGTAACGAAACTGGATGGTCATGCAAAAGGTGAGTTATTCACCTACTGTATGTATCGTTTTATATTTAGTTGGTAGTTAGATGAAAAAGACGGTGAGATTGTTTGTAATCCTTAAGATACTAAATTCATCTGTATCAAAATTGATGAGCGGATTATTTTTACGTTTTATCTCAAAACGGCATATCAGGTGTACACTGTAATCTATGTCATTTTGCATGAGAATTTTCTAAATGTATTTAACAAGAGAGACATTAGAGCCATAAAGTTGCTCATAAGTGATGTTAATTCGAATAATCATGTTCTTTTGTTGGTAATTCACTGCCAAATTTAAGTTGAATGAGATAAGAAAACGAGATACGATTATGATGATAATAATAATAATAATAATAATAATAATAATAGTAACAACGTACTCAGATTTAGTGTTACAACAGAAAATCATATCATCGTTAAAGGATTATGTTGATTTATAGACTGTTGATGTAGCGCTAGGTTTTTTGCCAAAATGACTATTGTGACAGCAGCATCTTAAATTGTGTTGGTTAAAACCTGTCTATTTTATCTTCATACATTTTTATCATATTAGCTAAAGTCAACTGTCTATTTGTTTAACTAACAAGCTTTGAAGAGGCTTCGCTGAATTAATAACTTTTCCACATTTCTTCATGACCGTTAATAAGTAGAAGATATGAAGTAGTCACAGGGTTTTAATCACAGATGTCGTCGTATAGAGTTGCTCATGTGAACCATATTGAAATCGGTCGATGAGGTTATGAACCTTCAATGACTGAGGTGTCGCGCATTCCGAGCCATCGCTTACCTCCATATGTTATGCTAGAGAAAGTTGTATGTATTTGTAAAAGGGTTCAAAGGGTCTAGACTAAGATGTAACACCAGTTGTTGAACCCCCTGTCTGTTGGTTTGAGTCGTGTATATATGCGTTAGACCGCCTTATCGGCGTTCTCGAGATGATAGGAGGAGGACTTTTAGCGACATGACTAAAAAGTGTTCACTATGGTCTAACTGTATTCATTGTTTAATTCCTTCTAAAGCTTAAATGTTTTGACTTACCTTAATTTTTAAATTCCCTTTCCTCCAATACACCTTTGTCTACTTTGAAATCACTCTTTCCTATACACATGTTATTCTTTGCATTCTACTGTGAGGTATGGCAACTGAAACCGATCTACTTATGTGCATGATTCTACATTGGTTTTGTCTCTAATGTACTTGTCTGTTATTCCTTCATGGTTGTTAAGTTACATTTATCTTTTCCTGACGAATCTTATGATAGAGAAAAGAAGATGGTTGATATTTTCTTCATTTCAATAATTCTATGGTTGATATATGAGTATTGTAGTGTGAAAGCATTTCTTTTTCTTTAAGTCATGAATACTTTTTTTCTGATCCTACAAAGCATAATACCATATCCTTTAAAATCAACTTTTTTTATCTGAATATTGTTAGGAACCTAACTATTTTTCCTCATTGATCAAATTCTGTATTGTACCAGTTTTTCTTCAGTATTTATATACTTAGTTGATGTTAGATGATGAGAGTTGATCATCAGAAGGCCGTGGACCTTGGTTTCACGTTTGTTTGCATTCATCAGCAAGGCATATCTACAATCATGAGAAAACTGTTCTCTCAGGGATTCAAACCTGCGTCACCCAGTGCTGAAGTAAGAGGTTTTAACATTAAGCTAAGCGTATTTGAATGGTTTATCGGTAAAGCATCTGACCTCAGCACTAAACGACACAGGTTCGAATCCTTCATATATGTAGATGTGCTCTTATGATGAGTGCCAACTGTGTGGAGCTGTGACTTATTGGTTTAGGCAGTTAACTTTCAACCAATGAGTCACGGGTTCGAACATAGCTTCATCTATCGAGATTTCGGTAGCTAGGTAGTATCATCATTAGCCTTCACACAATAGATGTGGCTCATTTCCTACTGCACGATTGTGCATTTTTATTTTGACTACTAATAAACATCGACCACATAACAATTAAGCACTCCTCAATCAACCCCCAAGTCTTATCCGCAAAATGCAGGGCACCGTAGTGTAGCATCACTTGGACCAATGACCACATTACAAAATTGACTGATAGACTTTAGTCCGAGGCTGAATGAGCACTGAAAACCAGACAGCAGGTACATTGATTACCCCACTAGTGACCCATTCGTATACATTTACTTATCTGTTTATTTCTCTCTCTCTCGTTTACAATCACAGGTGGTGGCGCATTGAGCGCAGTTGCTGCTACACACAGTCCAATTACATTTATTGGAACCGGTGAACATATAGAAGATTTTGAGCCATTCAGAGTTCAACCATTTGTACAAAAATTATTAGGTTTAGGTGATTTAGAAGGTTTAGTGGAACGTGTAAGTATTTTTCCTGTTAAAATTCAACGAATTATATAGTTATTAAAACAGTACATTTCATATGTATGTATGTATATATGGTTGAAAACTCCTACTTTAATTGTTCATTATAAGAATAGAATATATTTCAATAGCCCTAAAGATTTTCATTTTTATTGATTTATTACACAGTGTAAGTGTATTGTTTATTTGATTAAGTTTCGGACACAATTTATTGTCCATAGTGATATCAAGATAACTACACAGCTTTGAGATATCCTTTATATAGTCCTAATTTCATCGCCCCCTTTATGATATAGTTCATAAGATTTTCCATATTTGCGGAACAGTTACTAAGTCATTCCTGTTGTTGCATGTATTAGGTATGGGTTGATTCGATCAGCAAAGATTCAGTTATCAATTTCTCCCTCCACCTTATTATGTTAGTTCTAAGAATTTTCACCTTGTCCCCATCATATTATGTGGTTGTGTGTAATTGCATGTATACCTATGGCTCAGCTTTTTTCTAAATTCCTTATCTTACTAGGATCTACCAGTTTTGACCTAGTTATGGTTTTGTGCTTGGATAGCGTAAATTGACCTTGGTCGACTACTTTGACCTATGTATTTAACCTCGCAATCACTACAAGGGTAAACTAAGTTATTCTGCTTAATTGGATCAATAGGATCTTTTAACCTACAAAGCTTATTTCGAAGTTAGTGTGTAGATTGAAATGCAACTCTAGTGACAACTAGCCTTATTGAGAACTCTACGTAGTGTTTGTAAGGTGCCTTTTTTGTTATGGTAATACTGTAGAGCTTTTGAATTCTCTCTTCACAGTATTGCCACTATTATTATTGTCCCTTGGGTTCCTAGTGAAATATAGGGCTTCAGTAGCACGTCTCCATTGCACTCTGTTCTCTGCAGTCTTTTGAACCTGGCTTCACGACTGTCCAGAAGCTTTCATTTCTTCCTCACACGATATCCTCCATGTCACTCCCGCCTCAGACGTTTCCCATTTGGGTTCCACTCTAGGGCCTGAACTGTTATGTGATGTCCCCAATCGGTCTTCTCATTGTAAGCCCAATCCATCTCCACTTTATTCCTCTGCATATTTGTTAGGTGATGGGTACTTAGTTGGTTGGTTCGTTGCCAGGCCAGAATTCCTTGTTCCTTATTCTTTCTGGCCATTTGATCTTGAGTATCGAGGGTAGGTAACTGTTGATGTATGTCTGTAGTTTGTGCGGTAAGTCTCTCAACCATCACATAGAAGCACTGACTTGACTGAATTAATGTTGAAAATCCGGATCTTGTTCTTCGTGCTGAGTGCAGAAGATCTCCACACTGGTTTCAGGTTAATGAAGGCCTGTCTTGCTTTTCCGATCCTCGTTTTTACGTCTTCATCCGTGCCTGTGCCGTCTGTAGTTGAAACGATGCTGCCTTGCCTAGGTAGTTGAAAGAGACTACTTCATTCAGGTTTCTCCATTCGATGGTGATTGGTGCTTGTTGTTGTTGTTTGTGGGGTATCTCTGTCACCTCAATCTTCTCTACGTTCACTTGAGGTCCCATTTTCGCTGCCCAGCCTCTTCTCTCAACTTGTTGGTTTTTGCCTGTAGACCTTCGAGCTTGTGCGACATTAGATGTAAATCATCATCGACAAAATCCAAATCTTCTAGGCTCTTTTCACCGGTCCAGAGTATGCCCTTCTTCTTGCTCCTCATAGTTTGTTACGTAATCCGGTCGACCACAATCAGGAAGATCATTGCTGATAGTGGGTGACAGCCTTGTCTTACTCCTGTCTTCACTGCATAAGCGTCACTGAGCTTTCTGTTGTGAATCACTTGGCATGTGGCCTTTTCATATAGCTTTTGAATGAGGTTGATAAAGATTTGTGGTCCTAAAACCGTAGTGTTCAAGCAGCTTCCAAATTACTTGTCGGTCGACGCTATCGAAGGTATTTTCAAAGTCAACGAAGTTAAATTTGATTTAATTGCCATTCTATGCTCTGTTCTATGCTGATGCATACCGTTGCAATTTGGTCCGCACATGATTTGTACTTCCTGAATCTAGCCTGTACTAGTCGTAGTTTAGAATCCAGCTCATCTTTAGTCTCTCCAGGATGATGCAGCTTAATATTTTGCTTGCGGTGGACAGAAGTGGAGCATGATTCCGCGCTAGTTCTTGCAAAGACTTAGGTCTCCCTTCTTTGGAAGTTTGACAACGTAGCCCTTCTTCCAGTCGGCTGGTACCTTTCCTTCCTTCTAAACATGTAGTATTTTAGTAGGGTTCACTAAATTCTTATATTCTGCTATTCTGATTGACCCAGATCAACTACTTTAATCTTTGTGCTTGGCCTCATAATCATTACATGATATTTGGTAGATTCGCTAGTTTTGCTTAATTGGCTTTACTGGATTTTTTAGCTGAAAACGTTTCTGCCTGAGTGAATTTGTGAGTTCACGTACCACTGCAATCCCAGGATTGTTAAGAATTATCAGTAAAATTTTCGATGTACCTTTTGTATATGACAACATATTATTATTCCATCTTAGGGCGTGTTGAAATTATCACTCATTTGATTACTCCTGTTCTTAAAAGTCCCCATAAACTTTTTCATACTAGGCTAAAACAGCTGCCCATTGCACATATAATGAATACTACCTTAAAATCAATTGTTTCGCAGAAACCTTAAAACTGAAAAGTTCACCGTTTCAATTTAATCTTTCTAAAAGCCACTATCGGTTATTTGTTCTTCATTATTAGGAACAGCGTAAGACCCACTTACATTTTCAGTTACACATACATATACTTTGTCTTCTAAATAGTTTTTAGTGATAAATGATCATATGAATTTATGATGAATAATCAGTCTGTCTGAATAACAAATCAGTTAACCAGTGACCTACACACATAGGAATTATTACACCATGTACTATCTGACTAGATGTATTTATGATGAGACGTTCATAAAAATCTTTCTTTGGTTGTCTAACCTCCCTCAGATAAGCTAGAGATGTTTTTTTGAAAGCTGGAAACGTTTACAACTACGGCAAATTATACCTCTATGTAAGCAGCAATACGTGTGAATGATGCTTCTGATACTGGCTTGTAATTTCAGGTGAAGTGAAAATCTGGGTCGTGATGAGATTCGAACCAGTGACCACTGGGTTGCCGGCCTTGAATCTTACCAACTGAGCTTTAGATTCGGTTGTCATTTAAATCCGTTATACGTAACTGTCGTTTCAATCATCACACTGATAATCAACATGACTGATGCTATCCCTTGCTAATTCTCCTCGATTAGGATTGAGGCGAGGTGAACTGACTAGGCAACCTATGTGATTACAATGATAGGACTGTTATATGTCACAGATTCACTTAGCAGCCGGGTAAGATGCTTGATGATTGAAGTGAAATTAGGATCTGATTAGCAGTAGGCTTTTGTAGCCCACTTACTAAGGGACTGGGCCGGTAACCTGATGGTCGCTAACTCTAATCCTACCACTACCTTGATTTTCCTCACATCGTCAGTTGTCACCTAGTATAAATAAAAAGAGTATCTCAAAACACAACAGCTGCTTTAGATAATTATGCTTTTGTTGTATGAGAATACAATAATTGTGTGCACACTCATCGAATTTCTGTTTGTAAATTCTAAGAAAATGAGACCTAATTAATATATTTATCGTAGTCACTAGCAGTGGAATACTGGAGGTGCGTTTTCTCCTGTTTCGTACTCGTCAGCTAGAGCGTGGTGTTTTTGGAGGTGACCTTTTCCTACCCACTTTCCCATAGGGGAGGCAGCATCAGTTTGACACTGCTGTCACATTCCCGTTCAGTCAACAGTACGACTTCACCCTCGCACCCACATCATAGCTTAGCAATTCATACTATCCAAAAGACGTTTCTCCATCAGCGTAGCTCGTTGAATCATTGTGATATACAAACCCAACCACCACGCCAAGGTAATTGCAGTCAGATTCGTATATACCTTCTGATTTCCCATCATCTATGCATTTATCTCCTGGCAAGACTGTCATGAATTGAAATTTAATCCTTATTATCATAACAGAAAGTCTTGAATAGTAGTTTTACCAAGACTATTTCACTTATCATTTATTAAGTGTTCAATAGGTCCTATTTTGTTCAAGTGAACATTTAATCACCTAAATTTGTTCATATATAAGGTGAAATTTACGGAAAATGTTTTCAGAAATAAATTTTTGCCTCCTGCTATAGATCCTGGCAGCTTGAACCGATGAAACTTTTTGCTTGTATATGCAAAAGTCAAAATGCCAAATCTATTGTTTATGGGCTAGGGGTTAATATACTACCTGACTACTCAAACCTCTATAGGTGAAACAGGATTCGATCCCATTACCCATTTGCTGAAAATCAAACGTCTAAACCAATGAGCCACAGTTCTAAGGCATTTCTATGTCCAGGTTCTGCGTTGATTTTGTCCATTTGATGATATCATAAGAGCTTATCTAACTATATAAATGATGATCATTATAAAACAGATTTTGTTTTCCTATGCATATACTGTTATTATTACTCTGGGGGAAAAAACTGCATTGTAATTTCTCCCATCTTACCTTAGGTTACAGAGCTAAAATTAGATGAAAATGAAGAACTAGTTAAAAAGCTTAAACAAGGTGTATTCACTTTACGTAATATGTATGAACAATTTCAAAATATCCTGAAAATTGGTTCATTCTCTCAAGTTCTCTCAGCTATTCCTGGTCTCGGACAAGATTTACTAGCTAATGATCAGGCAAGTTGACTTTTACTTGATATTTGTGTGTGTATGTGTGTGTGTGTGTTCAACCTTCTTCTTATTCGAAATATTAATCTCTTTATGTAAAGGCATGAAGTTAAGACTCATTGATATCGGTCAGTATTCATCATGGACTGTGATATCAGTTGGAGATACATTGGAAACCTGGGAGAACTGGTTAGCTATTTCGTCCTAGTATGAGTAGTTCTGATTCATAACCTGTTCAATGGTAACGTGCTGGTTGCGGGACCTAAAGATCATGGGTTATCATGGTGCTGAGGTGTCCCATACTAGGACGAAACAGGTGTGCCGTGCTCTCATAGGTTTCCACTGTTTCACTAACTTATGTCACTCCAACTTGAAATCAATCACCGTAAACATGCCAATTGAATTCATTTATGTCTTGAGTTACAGTGATTGAAAAATAATCAGCAGGTAGCTATTGACATCCATTGGTAAGATCAAGCAGAGGCGTTCTGCTGTGCAGATGCGAGTCAGTGTCATTCGGGATCAAAGTAAGAGATGGTATCACTAATGAGTTATTCTCATTAAAGGTGAACGCATTATACAACTTGGTGGAGTAGACTAATCAACTAATCTAGTGAAACTAATAAATATCATGTGTAGTGTTTAGTTCTCAGTTCTAACCGGACTACTAGAGAAGCCTAAGTTTTCTTTAAGGTTATAGTACCATTTACCTACAGTCAGTTATTTTTAAACTTACTTCTCACTATGCATATTTTCCCTTGTACATAAGGTAAGTCTTTATATGCGCTATCGTCATCATCATCGTAAATATCAACAGAGGACCAGGGATTAAGTGCGTAACGGTCCAAGTTGCCGCATCTCACATTACCAAATCAAGTAACAAGGCAATAAAATGGAAGATAAAAAAGGAAAGAAAATTGGTCAAAGCAAGTAGAAGTAGAAAAAGAGATGAAGGAAGAATGACAAGTTAGTGAGATTAAGTATAACGGTTAAAGTGAGGATAATGCGACATTGACATTGGTTCTGAGCCATATCACACCGAAAATCTCCAATCACTGGTTTCTCTTGTCCCACGGACCCAAGCTGTGTAGTCTGCATCACTCTACATGGCTCAAACGAACAGTCAAGAACTTCATGCGTTGACGCCATGTGTTAGTCTGGCCACCGCGAGCCATTTTTCAGCACCAACCTACTTCGGCCAACATTGTTTGATGAGGCAATTGGTGACTAGGCGTACGTAACACATGTCGGAGCCAACCATCTCAGTTGATGAAAGTTCACAACTGCACCAGCTGACTTTCCTCTCCTCCCTAAATCTCTACGTCTGACTTCTGAGTTACTCATATGGTGACACCATAAAACACGGTCTATCCTACGAATGCAATGGTAGTCAAGCACCTGAAGTCTTCTACCTTTAATGGGCCGTTTTTTACAGTTATAGAGTAGAATAGATTAAAATGCAGCACAGTACACTCGAACCTTAATAGACAAACGGATATCGCGGTGGCACCACATATGGAGTAAGTTTGCAAAAGCCAACCGAGGCTTTTGTATCCGTGCAGAGATTTCGTTGACCACTGACCAATGCACCAGGGCTGACCCGACTTCTCAGGTAAGTGAAGTGTTCAACGCTCTGAACCACTTCACTGTCTACTGTTAGTCGGGTAACCGTTGGAGACCGATCCTGGAGCCATACGTTTCATCTTTTTATATCATTTCCAGTTTATTTATCACCCAGTTGCTTTGTTAGTCAGTCTGGTACCGTTGATCAATTAAAAAATATGTCATTTGGATTAAGAATCGTTTAATCTGATGACTTTCTATCATCCAGAACTAAGTACCTTACAGTATTACTTGGATTCAGTTGGTTGGAGCGTGATATATTTTCTTACGGTCGATTATCGTATTGTACGGCGAATAACTTTCTTCATATACATCGTATATTGCGTAAAATCTTACATGCATAATATTTTTCTCAAAGTTAGTCTATACTCCTTATGTGATAGATAATAGAGGGCGTGTTAGTTGAACATGTTGACCACTTCACTCATAAGAGGCGTCTTGGCTAAAGTGATGGGTTGATGACTGACAAAACAGTTCATTCAGCATTCACCAACTGATACTGTTTATATCCTAGATGAGACTATTTGATTGCCTATAATAGACTACGTGTCCTGCACAGCACTGTTGCAGTTGTATTTGCGTTATATCTTCATCTGTTTCTTGGAGATCAGATTCTTTTATTTCATTTATACAGTGGATGAAGGTGTCCGATTACTGACCAAAAACGAATATCTGTTGAAGTTTATAAACTGTTGTAGAAGTCAGCTAAACACTAAAGCTCACTCTATACTTCGTTTTTTTCTAAAGAAAAGCGTTGAATATTACAATTCGGAAACGGAGGCTAAGCTCTTCTATTAGTAAAACATTATACTGCTGGCGTTTTCAATTCTTGATACCAACGATGGATAATGGCTAGCAGTGGAGTACAGGATGCACGTTCCATCCTGTTTGAGACTCGTCAGCTGGAGTGATTATTTCCTCAATAAGATGCGAACTCAGGGCCAATTATTTCAAACAGCAGAGCGTTATCATCCACTAGACCACTGAGTCATGGTAGAGCCACTTCTTGTCCAATATGAAAACTGTGCTAACCGATTGGTCTCCTAGTTTCGAGCCTTGATGGAAATAACATCATACTCTCTAGGAGGCAGGTAACTCTCCCTGACGAGTCTCAAATAGCATGAAACGCATATCCTGGATCCCACTGCTAGTTATTATCCACCATTAATATCAAAATTATAAAAGCAATACAATTTATAAATGTGCTTATCTCATGGTTGAATGTACATTTTGACCATGTTTTCCAACTAAAGTCTTGATTCATCGGTCTAGGCTTCCAGTTTTACTAATTAGTGAGTTATGTATTCACTTCATCTAATTCTCAACCTCGACAACTGTGTAGCATCATGAATAATTAATTCCCCCTCTTTATTCTTCTACATTATTATTGTCCTATATAGTTTCTTCGTTCTTATTATCACACATGTTGATGACGAAATCAATGATAATTATTACATTGACAACGTGTCTAATTCCGCAAGGTTCCTTTAACCTGCCTAACTGTTATGATCATATCGAGTAGTAATATCTGAACTCTACGATTCTACCGATCTAATCATATCGTTGACTTTGGATGTGATTAATCTCGCAGGTATTTATCACTTTTCTTGTTCTCTTGTGATAACCACAGAGGAATCAGCCTGACGAACTTAATGTCTAAGATTCTAAGTTCTATAATCATTAGACGCCTGAGTGGAGCTCGTGAACAACAAGCCCGAGAAAATCAGGCAGACTTTAGACCCGACCGGGGGTGTATCGACCAAATATTTATACTCTGTCAGGTTCTGAAACACAGGCACGCTTACTGAATCCCGACAACAGATATATTTCTTGACTTTAAGACGGCATTTGACTCCGTTGATCGAGAGGTCTTATGGCAATGTCTCTCACTGAAAGGTGTGCCGAATAAGTACATCATCTTATTGAAGGCTCTTTACTCGAATAACTGTGGGCGTGTTAGAGACCATAGTGACATATCGAATGGTGTCCGTCAAAGATGGCCACTCTCCCCATTCTTATTCAATTTTATCATAAATGTTCTCATGGAGGTCTACCTCTCGTCATCTCTTTACACGGCGATTGACCTGATCACCGGAGAATTTTCAGTAGGCTTCGAATACTCACATGACATAGTCCTGTTAAGTGAAGACGCTGACAAGCTGCAGTCTTCTGGACACTTTAAATGGCAATTTGAGAATGTTTGGGATGCGTTTCTCACCAACCAAGTACCAATTGTAACTCCTGGACTGGTCTTCATCGGCACCCCGACTAACAGTAGAGCATGTTCAGCACGTTGAACACTTCACTTACCTGAGAAGTCGGGTCAGCTTTGGTGTCTCCGTAGCCGACGAAATCTCCGCACGGATACAGAAAGTTCGGTTAGCTTTTGCAAACTTACTCCATATGTGGTGCCACCGCGATACCCCTTTGTCTATTAAGGTTCGAGTGTACTGTGCTGCAGTCTGATTCGCTCTAATTTAAGACTGTGAAATATTGGTAATAAAGGCATAAGACGTGGGAAGGCTTCATGTTTTTGACCACCGTCGCCCTTGTAAGACAGACCATGTTTTGTGGTGTCACCATGTAAGTAACGCAGAAATCAGACGTAGAATTTTAGGGAGGAGAGGTAAGACTGTTGATGCGGCTGTGAACCTTGTTCGGCTGAGATGGTTGGGATATGTGTTACGTATGCCTAGCCACTGTCTGCATCGTTTCACAATATTGGCCGAAGTAGTTTGAGGCTAGCAAAAGGCCCGCGCAGGCGAGGCTACAACATGGCATTAGTGGGTGAAGTCCCTGACTATTCGTTGGGACCATGCAAGGAAATGCAGACTAGTCAATAGGGGTCTGCGGGACAAGAGAAACCATTGGTTGGAGGCTCTGAATGATGACATAGCTCAGAATTGATGTCAATGTTGCAGATGTGTATACACATTATCCTCATCATCTTGTCATTCTTCCTTCCTCTCTTCTCCTACTTTCTGCTTCCTTTAACCAATTTTTCTTTCTTCCTTCACCTTCCACTTTATTGCCTTGTTACTTGATTTGGTGATGTGAGATGTGGCACCCTGGACCGTTGCACAGTCTTATGTTGCTCTTGATGATGATCATCATGAGTCCTCTGCATGTAGGCAACTTAATTTCCTGTCAACAAAGCACCATAAATAACTAAAAATGAAACAACGAATTTCACGCACAAACAATGATATAATGCACAGTAATTGATTTCACTCAACATGCAATTATTTTCGAACTACAAGTCATCCAGAAATGAATGAGGGGATCAATCAGAATTTCAGGCGCTACTGAGCTATACATTCGAGTCGAGATGTATTCAACAATATTGTAAACAATCGTTCAGTAGAAAATGAGCCACACCTAGTGTACGGAGGCTAATGATAATTACTACCTGGCAGCCGAAACCTCGGTAGATGGCCAATGGGTTCATCATCATCAATATCAACATAGGACCAGGCATTACTGCGTAACGGTCCGAGTTGCTACATCTCATATCAGTACATCAAGTAGAAAGGGACTGAGGTGAAAAATCAAGATAAGAAAATTCAGTCAAAAGAAATACAAAGTATGAGAAGAAAGAGAGGAAGAGTGAGAAAATAGTGAGAATCGATATAGTGTCGCTAAGATGAGGGCAATGTATGTATACATCTGTACCACTGACATCGGTTCTCAGCCATATCACCTAGAATCTCCAACCACTGGTTCCTCTTGTCCCACCGACCCCAACCACCTAGTCTGCACCGTCCCACATAGCTCAAACCAACAGTCCAGTCAAACACTTCATACATTGATGTCATGTTTTAGACTAGCCACCTCAGACCTTTTCCCAGCCTGGACCCACCTCAGCCAACATTGTGTGACGAGGCAGACAGCGACAAGGCATACATGTCTAAACCATCTCAGTCGATGAAGGTTCATAACCTCGTCAACTGGTTTACCTCTTCTCCCTAAAACTCTGTACCTGACATCTGCGTTACTCATGTGGTGCGGTGACACCACGAAATACGGCGTATACTACGAAGGCAACGGTGCTCAAACACTTGAAGCCAGCCTTCTCATGTCTCCCACCTTCAATGGGCATGTTTCACAGCCATACAGGAGAACAGACCGGACTGATGTACAGGTGCAGTACACGCGACCCTTAATAGACAGTCGGATATCACGAACTCATGACCCAGTGGTTGGAAGTCAACTCTCTAGTCCAATGGGTCGTGTGTTATGGAATACAATAGTGTTACGAAACAAGTTATAAGAAAATTACGTTTTAAAGCAAATAAATTAATACAACTGATGGAATATTATTATTATTTGTCCCTTGGGTTCCTAATAGAACATAGGGCTTCAGTAACACGTCTCAAGTGAACTCTGTTCTCTGAAATCTTTTCAACCTGGCTCCACGACAGCCCATAAGCTCTCATTTCCTCCTCGCACGATCTCCTCCATGTCATCCTCGCCTCTCACGCCCAACTCGTCACCTTCCATCTGGGTTCCACTTGAGGGCCTGGCCTGACGTGGCGCGTGATGTCCTCAGTCGGCCTTCTCAGTGTATGCCCAATCCATCTCCACTTTATTCCTCTGCATATTTGTTGAGCGATAGCTTCTTGGTTGGTTCGTTGCCAGCCAGAGTTTCTTGTTGCTTATTCATATTATCCTAGCCATCTGATGTTCAGTAACGAGCCAGTGTAGGTGGCAGTTGTTTATGAATGTCTGTAGTTTGTTGGAAATCCCTTTCGTAACGCGCCCCCACGACTGATAGAATACTCATCTGAAATTCACGTTTCCCACTTTTCGGCCGATATAACACTAACCTAATCAGGTAAGTGAATAATAGCCAAAGTTAGTTACTCAATTCAGTATTCATGCATTTAGTTGTATTGTAATCAGTAGTTTACCTACTATCTTTTGTTGATATTTTTATATAAAGGAAAGTCATCGACGTTTGAAACGCCTTATGACAATCATGGATAGTATGAATGACTATGAATTAGATTCTGATGAAGGCGGCCGATTGTTTAACAGACAACCTGGACGAACACTTCGTGTTGCTCGTGGTGCAGGTGTCAGTCAAGCGGAAGTGAAACTTCTTCTAACTCAACATAATAAATTCTATATGGTTGTCAAAAAGATGGGTGGTATTAAAGGTCTATTTCAAACTGGAGCTAAAGGGGGAGCAATGGGTGGAGTTGGAGGTCCCGGTAGTGGAGGCAGTGGTAACACTCCAAGTTTAGCTGATATGGCTGCAGCTTCAAGATCTGTAAGTGCTGGTCAAATGGCGAAGTTGAATCAATCAATGGCTAAAGTTCTTGATCCACGCATTCTTCAACAAATGGGTGGTATGGCAGGTTTACAAAATATGATGCGTCAGTTACAATCAGGTGGTGGTTTGGGACCATTTGGCGGCGGTGGTGGTGGTCGTTTAGGTTAGATGACACATACACACAATGTAGATGTACTCTCTTTAAACATTACCAAATAATTGTCTTTCTTCAAAACGCCTATACACAAGCTGCGTTACCACTACATATGCATATTTTTTTTGTCGTTAAACGGCAATCATTGTACTAAAATCACAATTTGTACATACACATATACTTGTATGTCTGTAAGTGATTTAACAAAATGTATTTTTGGTCTCTGGGAATTATTCTTACTTTAAAATGCTAATTGACTTACTCTACCTCGACGGTTTGTAGGTGCGATGATGATGATGATTTGTAAAGAAATGTGCAAGTTTAAAAAATCTTGTATTTTGTTTGCTTTTTCAGTGTGTAAAACAATTTTATGAATAGTCTGTTCTGTTTGCTTCCAATACAGTACGTACATTGACTAAATTGAAAACAGACTAATATGATAATAAATGGTATATCGTTTACTGTTCTTTTTGTATTATCTATGGATATGCGTATTTTACTTACATTTGAGTGGATGGGAGTTAACTGTCACTGAAACTATTATTATTATGTTATTATTTGTCCCTTCGGTTCCTAGTGGAACATAGGGCTTCAGTAACACATCTCAAGTGAACTCTGTTCTCTGAAATCTTCTCAACCTGGCTCCACGACAGCCCACAAGCTCTCATTTCCTCCTCGCACGATCTCCTCCATGTCATCCTCGCCTCCCACACCCAACTCGTCACCTTCCATCTGGGTTCCACTTAAGGGCCTGGCCTGACGTGGCGCGTGATGTCCTCAGTCGGCCTTCTCAGTGTATGCCCAATCCATCTCCACTTTATTCCTCTGCATATTTGTTGAGCGATAGCTTCTTGGTTGGTTCGTTGCCAGCCAGAGTTTCTTGTTGCTTATTCATATTATCCTGGCCATCTGATGTTCAGTAACGAGCCAGTGTAGGTGGCAGTTGTTTATGAATGTCTGTAGTTTGTTGGAAATCCCTTTCGTAACGCGCTAAGTCTCTGAACCAAACAGAAGCACTGACTTGACTGGGTTGGTGTTGAAAATCTGGATTTTGTTCCACATGCTGAGTGCAGTGCAGAAGATCTCCACACTGGTTTCAGGCTAATGAACGCCTGTCTAGCTTTTCCGATCCTGGCTGACTTTGATGTCCTCGTCTGCGCCGCCTGTAGTTGAAACAGTGCTGCCTAGATAGGTGAAGGAGGTTACTTCCTTTAAGTTTCTCTCGTTGATGGTGATTGGAGCTTGTTATTGTTGGTAGCTGCGTTGGTCGGGTATCATCATCAACTCTTTCTTCTTTACGTTCCCTCGAAGTTGCGTTTTCGCTGCCTCTTCTGCCAACTTCTTAGTTTTCGCCTGTAAATCTTCGAGTTTGTGCGACATTAGACACAAGTCATCGGCGAAATCCAAATCTTCTCAGATCCTTTCCCCAGTCCAGTGTATCCCTCTCTTTTCGCTATTCACTGTTTGTTGCATTATCCAGTCGACCACAATCAGGAAGATCATCGGTGATAGTAGTTAGCCTTATCTTACTCCTGTCTTCACTTCAAAGGCATCACTGACCTTTCCATTGTGGATCACTTGGTATGTGGCATCGTCATATATCTGTTGAATGAGATTGATGAAGGTTTGTGGCGTTTTGTAGTATTGAAGCAACTGCCAAATTACTTCTTGGTCGACGCTGTCAAAGGCCTTTTCAAAGTGGATGAAGTTGAGGTAGAGAGTTGACTGCCATTCTGTGGTCTGTTCTATGATGATGTGTAGCGTAGCGTTGCAATTTGGTCCGCACATGATTTGCACTTCCTGAATTCAGCCAGCCTGTTCGGGTCGTAGTTTTGAATTCAGCACATCGTTTAGTCCCTCCAGGGTGAGGCGTCACTGAAACTATAGTGATTTTCAATTCATCCTATTAAATTAGTAGATATGTTAGATAGACGGACAGACAGATAGAACCGATGTAGAACCTTGGACATAAATACATCGGCTCAGGTTGCCACACTTCATAGTAGTACACAAAGAACAGGTGGATGGAAAAAGAGACTGATATTAAAGTAGACAAAGTTGGATGAGAGAATAAATAATCTGAAGATAACAGTTAGTGCAAATATTCAAACTTCAGAAGACATCAACTAGTGACTAGGTAGTCCGTGCCATTGTGACCGATTTTCAGCTGTTACCAAGACTCCTTATCAACCACTGATGACTGTCATCTCGAGGACTCCAACCAGGCAATCTATATCTCCGTGAAAGACTCATACCAACAATCAGAGACTTCATTGACTAATACCACGTTTTGGTCTAGCTACGCTGAACCCTCTTTCAAACTATTCCAACTTGTACATCGAGGTAAGAGGTAGCTCAGCGTACACAATAAATTTGCAAGCCATCATGAATCGACTTCCTTGTCTTGCCGCCTAGTATCCTTTACCTGACCTCAACATTACTCACACGGTGATTCGGCCAAACGTCAGAAATGCTACGAAGACACCTGCAATCACTTCATGGAATGTGAGAGAATAAACAGTTTCAAGATAACAGTTAGTACGTATATTCAAGGTTTAGATAAATGCTGTGGAGTGAATAAGTAATCCGCACCATTGTGAGTTTCTGTGTATTTCAATTCACTACATTAGTTGCATTCGAGTCTTTCTCTTTAACAGTCTACAGAATTAATTACATTTAAATAGATGGTAAGACTTATGAGTGAAATTCGACCTATAGTGACAAGGAACTTGTGAAAAACAGGTGATAGCTAACTTGGCGTTGAAAAATACTCAAAGTCAAACGAAATCTCAGTTTATAAGCACTTCACAAAATATCCAAATGGTAAAATCACTGTGAGCAGTGTCGAGTTTCGGCGGAAGGGTACTGGACAAGTCAGTTGATAAGGTTGTGAGCCTTGATCGACTGGGGTGACTTGAAAATGTGCTACGTATGCTAAGCCACCGCCTACGTTGATGTGTCATGCTAGGGGAAGTTGGAAGAGAGTTTAGAATGGCCAGACCGAAACGTGGCACCAGCTCATGAAGTCGCTGAATGTTGTTCTGTGCCATGTAGAGACGTGAGACTATATGGCTGGAGTCCTTGAGACGATAAGAATCAGTGGTTGAGGACTCTTCGTGAAATGGTCGGAAATCAGTGGCAATGGTGCAGAAGTATTCACTCTCTGATTTCTTTTAAAGCTTGAATCCTTGGACTAACCTTAATTTTTGAAATTTCCTCGACATATATTTTTCTACTTTGATATCAGCCTTTTTCTATACACTTGTTTCTTGTGTACTATTGTAAAGTTTGGCAACTTGAACCGATACACTTGTGTGCAAGATTTTACTTTGATTTATCTGTCCCGTTTTGGTTAGATGATCTTTTACTTTACATTATGCATACACCAGACAATAAGGCACGCTAGAGTACATACAGTGAATGATCTAACTTGCAACAATCCTGTGCATGATTAGTGTAAATTGTATCAACCCTCATGGGTTTGAAGTTAACTTGCTTTTGATGGAAATACGAGAACCTTAAGAACGTATTTAAGTGATTATTAGAACGTATGTGTATCACACACCAAGACACAGTGATTCTAAGACTTAATCGTTAACTTTTAAAAACGAGGGTTCCCAGGTATTTGGCCTTGCATCCCTACGAAGTGAACAGTGTTGTAAAGCTAGACACAGACTTCAATGAAAAGAAGGTAGGTCGGTCGAGATGAGCCAGACATTTAATACACAAGTTTTAGATACTGGAAGTCAATCGGCAGAAAACTCTGAACCTTGGTTTCTTGCTTTTCGGCACTCACAAACAAAGCGTATCTGCAACCATGGAAAATCTAGTGTCCGCTTATCAGATCAAATCTACATATCTTAGTGCTGAGTTCAGAGACTTGCTATAATTATTAGGGTTTTAACGTTCCCATTGTTTATCTAAAACACTACCTTCCAATCCTTGACCACTGGTATTATCAGTGGCCGTATAGGCTTTTTGTCTTATCTATTCTCTTCTTTATGTATTGTTTCGAAGTTTGAAAGCTTGTAGAAGTATACAATTCTGCTGTATCCTATTTGAATTGGTTAGCCAAACGAACTATTAGGACTTAATATGCACGATGGGTTTGGTTATCATATTTATTTCGACCAGTACGGTCCAATATACTTCTGCCTTTGCTCTGGCGGTCAGCATTCTTTAATTCTCAGAGAGTAAACGTTAAAGATATATGTAGAAACTGAATAAAATCCGTCGGCTCCAAGAAAAGGTTAATTCGTAAAACTGGTTGAAATGACTCATCCCCTTCACATACGAGTCGTTACTCAAGTGGTCTGTTTCGTTGCTAAGTTCTATTGATTTAACTCAAATTTGAGATAGGTTTCACTACCAACTCAGAAGTGAGGCACGTTATATTTCCGGTACACAAGGGCAAGACGCAGGCGTGGTTATTCAACCTTAAACTTCAAAATTAGTGGGCTTCAATAATTTAAAAGTAGAACCTTGGTAACGAGGTAGGGCTTGTAGCGTCAAATTAGTATGCTGATTCCGAATTATGGCACACAGTGATGTAGTATTATCTGCTGGATGTGTCCACCATCTGCTTTATCACATAAAGAAACTATGGTAGAATCTGGGCATTCAGCTCTTAGGTATGCTATATAGTAATGATTCGAAGGTATGAGGTCACTATTTGCTACCAGATAGTAGGAATCTTCATGTTACCTTGAAAGTATGACCCCAGCAGGCTGAATGTGATAACGTAGTCATTGTATCCGACCACTTTACTATCGTGATATTACAATGCTTTTCTCGGAGGCGTAGCCTGAAGACTTGGTAAGTGTTTTCATACTGCTTTTATGGTCACGTAACAACGTCAACCAGGATTAGGTCCAAGCTAAATATGGAACGGACTGCGAAGATCACCAATTCCTTCTACCTCAGTTCACTCTCACAGTTGGTCATAATATCTACTGTGAGGTTGACCGTTTTAGGCCTTATTGTGAGTGCCTTCGAGATAAGTGTGACGGTCTAGTGTTTTATTCGTAAGAGAACTCTATTTGGAAACTGTGATATGGTTTGTATCCGCATAACTGCAGGTCAGACTGACACATACAAGGCATTAGGAACCCTCTTAGTCGACGTAATCAAATGCTTAGTTAATCTGTCGCGTTGGATACATACTTAGAGAGAATGAAAGCTCATACTAATATAGAGTATTCGTGAATAAAATGTGCCGAATCACTGACACGAAAGAAATTCATTGGGCTTACTGACCACCAACACATTAGAGCTCTGAAATATTAAAGACAAAAGAAATGGTGTCGAAGACTTTTGAAGATACCGAAGTCTTTTTATATTTGTAAACTACTTGAGAAACGTATTCAACTCAACTTCTTTCAGGACATTTGTAACAACTATGTCTTGGATGTTTATAATTACTTGAGAAAAAGCCTAAAAGCAATGAGAAAGATACTTCGCAATCAACGTAAATAGACAGCAATATACAAGTAATATACAGCTACTCAGCTTGCCACATTTCGCGACAGCAAAGGTAAAATGGATGAAGACATGACAAGTTCGGATGTCGTACCTTAGTTAGAAACTGGTAAAGGTTAGAGATTGTTTATCTATATCCTATTCAGCTTAAAGACAAATGGTAGACAAAAGTGGCATACCTAAAGACGCTTCAGAGTTGCAAACTAGCTCTTGAAAGTGAAGGAAAAGTGGAACATGCCTACCTTGGTAAGCTTTGTTTTCGTACCAAGATTAGGATTAGTTGTGTCACTCTTCCTTTCCTACTATCTAAATTGTTCTATTTTTCTTCCCATTCGTTCTTCGGTTTTATATAAATTAACTTGACAAGTAAATTTGCGATCAGATTGTTCGAAATGTATTGCGCAAGTACATCACATTGTTCAGATAAACTTCACCTTCAAAGTACACTACCTAACCCAGCCTTTGCTCGCATCGCATTTCAACAATGGAGAGCAACTTATTATGCAATCTCATCTAGCGCAGGTTCACAAGTCGAAGTGGCTATGTACACTTAATATTTCAAGTACTGACACCCAATAACTCAAAGGAGACAATAGCGATAGTATTAACACATGAACTATTCACTTATATGACAACGGAACACCTTAAAATCTTAGAACTCACGGCGTTTCGAAGCTCATATAATTGGTTTTTGTTTGTTTCATTCGAGTATGACTATTTAAGACTATCACATTTACAAAACGAAAACAGTCAAATCACACCGATAATTTTCAAAAGCATATCCTATTTACCAAACATAACAAGGTAGGCTAACATCAACTTTTCAATCAGAAAGCACGCGAAACAACAGTGTTCTTTTGTTCACACCGTGTGAAAACAATTTCTACACACACACACCGTGAATCTGTCATGCACAGGTGATAAATTCACGATGATCTTACACTCTTGTCTGTTTAGTCAGTTAAAAGGATCTGACTACACACGCATGTGACTAAATAAAACTTGAATGAACATCGCAATAAATCCGACTGATATATGCAAAGCTTAAATGGTTCGTCACTGCTGTTCATCACGGACCTTAGCTTACATCACGTTCATTCATCTGATTATCTTCAACAGCTGACATGAATAGTTGATAGTGCTTGACTACTGATATTTTACTACGTTTTACCTTAAATGAGGCTAAACCATAGGTTTTATGTGATGAATAGGTAAGCGTATTCATATTGATTGAGGCAGGTTAGGATAAGTAACCCTACTGAACTAATGATGCACTACATTGAGTACTAGGAGATTCAGCTAAGCTACACAGATCTTCTCCTTTAGTTTGAGAAATTATAACCTAAAAACAGAAAGTGCTCAATGACTTGTGTAAACAACAACTGGTCTAACAGCCTATCAGACAAGTTATTTAAATAACACCACATACAACTAACTATTGACATAAATATATTAGTAAATCAACAAATAAACGACTAACTGAGATTTTTAACACTTTAAAAGTATGAATTTATCTTATCATTATCATATGTGACCGATGTTTATCTTTCTCTGAAAACTGTAGAACATCATTCGTTAAATATATATATATATATATATATATATATATATATATATATATTGCAGTATATAAAGTTGTCAACGAGCTTTGGTCGTCTATCCTTCATCTTCGTCTAAATCGAATGACAGTAATGAACATTTTGTATCTTTTCTTTTAGAATCAATAGGCGAACGATCTCGGAGACACTTTTGTTTCGGTCGACTACTGTCGATAAAATTGTCAACATTAGATGTATTGATGACAGAATTTATTTTGTTTGCACAACGTTCTTCAGCAGATCGGAACATAATCCGATTTGGTACACCTACAAATAATCATAATTAAGAGAAATTAGGAAGAAGCACTGTGGATTAGAAAATTAAATGGAAAATTTACCTAAATTTTCTTTTTTTGCATTAGTTTCCACTGGTAGACCAAGTTTATGTTCATATTGCCATTGTTTAATAAATGCTCTTGCTTCCAATTCATCAACTTCGGAACAAGGATCATAGACTAACTGAGGCTGTTCATCTGGACGATCATCTTCACCGTTATCAGTAGTTAATTCTTTATGCTGTAAACAAAGAAATGCAAAATACACTAATTTAATTATTATAAACCCCCGTCTCCTTCCCATAAATCATATATTTTTGCACAACTGATGCAACACAATAATAACTGTTGTTATTATTCCTAACGGAAGAGAGTTGAATAAACGAGAATAGGTTAAGAGGTCAAATCTGATAGAGATCACTAACATTATTTATCATTTAAACCGGTATAACGTCGAGGTCAACAAAAGAACTATCGATGATAATCCAGTTTAGATCAAGATAAGGCTTCAATGCATTCTTGCACGCTGTGAGTCATACTACCTAAAGTCACTAACCATCAACTTCAGTTTCCGCGTGGACTTCAAGCAGAAAACCCCTGAATCGAACCAAAAAAAAGTCAAAGTTCACTCAACAATCATGTGCACATTTACACAGCAGGCAATGAGCCATACCCATTGTACCACAGGAACTGAAACTACCTGGCTACCCACATTTCAGTAGGTGGAGTAGGCTTCGAACCTGCAGTCGACTCACTGGAAGTTCAGTACTCTAGACCAATGAGCTACGGAGCTCTAGTAAGCCAAGATTTTTCCGGACAATTAATAATAACAGCGAGACAATTCGCGAATTGTAATACAGTATATAGAATACCCCTGTGTAAAGCAGTTGACACATAACTGATAGATAAATCATTCCACACAACGGTATGTTAGTTAGAATTATCACATGTCAGAGGATTAGCATAGAAAAAAGCGGTCGATTTAACGGAAGACAATAACGTGACCATCAATAGACGGTAAGAAAAAACGGGACAACTTCAAATAGATAATGGCAGAGATAGAATAATGTAAACTTTTTTTATCGGCAACATTAAACCACATTCTTTTCCGTAGTGAAAAAACAGCAATATAGAACTTTTTGTAGAAGCATACTACTTCAAGTTTCCAAACTTTTCAACAAAGAAAGATGAGATGGAAAGATCAAAATAAAGAAATCAGAGCATATGGGAAAATGAGTAAAACTTTAACTGTTTAAAAGAAATGCAGAGATCACCAGGTGACGTAGACTCCCTCTCTTCACAGTCATATCATAATTAAGATGCTTTGAAATTAGAAAATCCCTGAACAGTTTAGGTTATTTGTGAAAGGGTTGACCAAAGTAATAATACACACCAGTATGACACTTCGAACACTGAATACAAGACAATCCAAGGCATGTGTAACTTATCGAAAGTAATTGTCATCCTGGTTTGGAAGTATGCATTATTAGGAATGATTCAGTAACCAATCATCGACAAATGTCCAACAACCGATGCTATATTTATACTCATATTGAGAATATTTGGCCTATTCATGATATTTAACAATGGACTGAATTGTTCCGATATTTCTACTTAACTCAACAAATAAAAGCGATCCTATGTGAAGTAAAATCACACAGATAGACAAAATCAACGTAGAACCTGGCACACAAGCGCATAGGTTCAGTTACCACACTTCACAGTAGCATACAAACAACAAGTGGATAAGAAAAACTGATATCAGAGTAGATAAAAGTGTGACGAGGGAAAGGAAACCTAAAAATTTAAGTCAGTCAAAACATTCAAGCTTCAGAAAACATCAAAGAGTGAATACATCTGCGCCAATGCTACCAATTTTCAGCCATATCACCCACAGTCCTCAACCACCGATTCCTATTGCCTTCAGGACCCTAAACAGACTACACCTCCCTATATGGATCAGATCAACAATCAGGGACTTCATCGACTGATATCATGTCTTGGTCCGGCTACGCTGAACCTCTTTAACAACCTAATTTAAATTCCACTAGCTTGGCACGGTTTAGATAGATGGTGGCTTGGCAGTACATGGCCCAAGCCACCTCAGTCAATAGTTTAACAGAATTTCAACATCTGTATATGAGTTGACCAAGGGATAGCAACCCATTTAAATGTCAAGCCTTATTTGCTGACCCACGAGTTGCTATTATTAGTAAATTATAATATGATGTCTGACTTACTTTGGATTCGATAGTTGCATCTGCTGGTATACCTGCACGTTCTTTAAACTGACGTATAAATGATGGCTCTTCATTCTGAATGAACTGAACACGAGCTTTTTTTGACATCTTATGTACTTTGAACTAAATTCAACGGAGGATATTTATTGTAGTGCCTAATAAAAAAAACAAACATTAATATTGAAGTAAATTATAACACAATTTACAATGAATATTTGTTTGATGCAACTACGTCGATGACATTTAGTATGCTGAAAGGTCGTACAAATCCATGAAAATTATCCTATCTAGTCAAAAAAAAGGTATAGATCAATGACAAGGTGCTTGTTTTCATGAAATGGGATGAGAAAAACCTATGCTCTCCAACTAGAAGATGAATTTGACTCGAAATATTGATACGATCTCTTGGTAACTATGAACAGAAGTGAAAAATAAGTTTTGATATCTATTTTTGGGTTAACAGCAGATGAGTAAATGACTACCTGCTTCTTATTTCTCAACAAAATACACGGTGAATTTCCAATTCAAGGAGCATACACAGAGTTGAGTATCCATAGGAACAACTGTACTCCAAGATATGATGAGCAAATATCTGGTACATACAAATACTATCAAAACTGAAATTTATCTGATGCTCTCAGTTCTGTTCGCAAGCTGCAGTTGAGCATCCTATGACGACTGACCTTATAAACCATAGTTTATGTTTGCTGGTTTGAATCCAACTGAATTTTTAACAGTGGGTAGCGAACAGCTGGAGATACATAAACTGTTTACTGTAATTCTACCACCTTAGGGTGACTTATTGACCTTTCTTTCTCTTAAATTACTGACTTTTGAATCTAGTATACATAATGCACAGAAAAAGTTGTCTACAAGAACTTATCAGCTTGTATGAAACCATCATTACAAAGAATTAGTTAGCTTAGATGAAATTACTAAGATCTCGACGTTTATCAACTTTAAAAGTAGACTTCTACAAGCCTCAACAACTATGCGACAATAAGAAGTTAACATCGAAACCCTAACCCTAACAATGGAGGAAAACAAACCACATAAAATAATATCATTTGGCATAAGAAATGACTTTTTTATTCAATCCAATAACTAAACTAGAAAGAATGAAGAACGAAATTTATAAACTTGTATTCAACATCTATGTACAAATTATTTATCACAAGCATCATATCAAATTGTGAGGAAAAGTTGCTTTTAGGCTCTGTTCATCCTGTTTCCACTACCTCTACGATGTTCATCTTTGAAATCATCAAATGCTCTAGCTTTAGATAAGAATTCTGGATCGTCAGCATCTTCCAGTTCATCTTGTTTCTCCTTCTTCTTTTCCTGGCCCTTCCGTTCTTCTATGGAAGGATCAATACGTGTCACGCTCGGACCTGTTGTATTTTGAGGAAGAGGTTTTGGAGGTGGTAACAAACCGGCTGCTACCTAACAATACAATAAAAAGCTAGTTGACAGTATTCAGATTAGGTGAAAGTTACTCTGTGGTTTAAACATCCTTGCATATCATAATATCATAATAAACAACAAAGATAGCTGAAATAAATCAGTTATTGGTGGTGAAACAACAGAGAAAGAGAAAAGTCAAAACTTGAAACTTGGATTGTTGTCCCTTGTTTGTCTGAAACTACTAACACTTAGATGTCAGCTGTCACTAAAATCTAGTCTGGAAATACTTACCTGTGTACTAAAAATTAGTCACAGAATTTATGAGATTTCGTCCCATTTAATGTAACCCAACCTAACTCCACTTCAGTTAACAGTGAGTATCAGCGTGGGTGGTGCCCAGGCATGCACAACACATGCTCTAAATACCTTAGCTCATAACGCATCGGTAGTAGTTTCAATCGTTAAATTACTAAAACCTCAACTTTGACAATTACAGTTGTTCGAATTTTTACTTAAGTTGTTTGAACCTTAAAAACGTATCAGACACAGACAAGATCAACATAGGACCAGGTGTTAATGTCCAATTTACCACACCTTATATCAGCACATCATCATCATCAACAAAATCAACATAGGACCAAGCATTACCGTGTAACGGTATCAGCACATCAAGCGAGAAAGCACTGAGGTGAAATATAAAGAAACAGAGAAACTAATCAAAAGTGGCAGAAAGTCGTGATAAGATAACAAGGAAGAATACGAAAATACTGAAGTTAGTAGGATGATCAGGATGAGGATAGTATATGGATACAACTAAGCCACTAAGACCAATTCTGAGTCTTCAACCAATAGTTTCTTATGTCACGTCAACCCTAACCGGGAAGTCTACATTTCCCCACACGACTCAGACCAACAGTTAGGGACTTCATGCAGTGTTCCTATGTCTTAGTCTAACCTCCCCTAATCTGTTTCTAGCCTGAACCTACTTCATCTGACATTGTGTAGCGGGGCAGATGGTGATGAGGCGTGTCCAACACATGCTCTAGGCACCTGAGTTGTTGAAGGTTCACAACCTCATCAACTAACTTCCCTTTTCTCCCTAAAACTCTATGCATGAGTTTTACACTGCTGACGAGTGACACCACGACGCAGCCTATGATGTGAAGGTGACAGTGATTGAATCCCGAAGCATTCGCATGTCCTCTATCTTTAATGTTTCACAATCATATTTTAGAGCAGAACGAAATACGTCAAACTACATTCAACCCTTAATAGACTGCCTGACAAAAACGTAGAACCTCGCACACAGGTCCATCGGCAAAAGTGTCCGCACTTCACAGTAGTGTACAGAGACAGAAGGATAGAATAAGAGTGATTTCAAGTAGATAAGGCTGTGTGACGCGGTGGTCAAGCTTGCATATTACAATGACTCAAGGAGCTATGTTGGTGGAAAACTTGTTCCCTCGAGGTCCTACCATACCAGAAAGGTCTGTTGAATAGCGGTAGACGGAAAGCAATTACTATTATCGTGCACATTACCAGGCTATGGTGGAGGTCTGAGGGCGAAGTCGTACTGCTGTTAGCCGGACGGGGTGTAACTGCAGTAAGGTGTTTCCCTTGAATGATCAGCAGTGCAATGTTGATGCTACCTTCCAGATGGGAAGAGGGGCACTAGAACAGGTCGGCCCCCAAAACAGAACACTCTTCCCTACCCCACTGTCTTCTGGTGCCGGTGGTATGGGTTTTCTCTATCCGGCGTTAGAATAACCACATCTAAGAACAACAACCCGCCAAAGGTGGTGTGTGGGAAGCCTCAAGCATGTCTCATGAGCTTTGCGGTCACATAAATCTTTTCATTTCAGGCCCCTTAAGAAGAAATACCCTTCCACGGTGTGGAGTCGGAAAGTGTCAATCGCCTGTATGATTCCCATAGTACACAAGACCTAATCAAACAATCTATCCTCCTCAACCCTTAATAGACAATCGGACAGCGTGGCGGCGCCATAAATGGCGTCAGTTGATGAAAGTTAAGTGAGCCTTTCATTTCCGAGCACAGAAACGACTTCGCAGGTAAATGAAATGGTCAGCGCGTTCAACCACTTTATTCTCTATTGTTATACAGAGCATCAGTAAGACCGGTCCTGAAACAATGACTTGCATTTAGGTGTTGAGGAATGCATCCCAAAATTACCAACTTGCCACTCAAAGTACTCAAAAGACTCTGCATCTAACATGATTATGTCACCTGTGTACTCTACATCTACTAAGGATTCATCCGTGATAAGGTAGATAGCTGTAAAAGCAGACCGCGAGAGGAAGACCTACATAAGTACGATTGGTAAAGTTGAATAAGAACCCAGAATGAACATCCTAGAGGGATACCCCACTAGAAGTACACAACTCACCTGACAACCTAACACAGGCTCAAACAACCCCATAGATGTTTGAGTACAGAGCCATCAACAGAGTGATGCAGTTACTCAGTATTCCGTTTAGTGAGACACTGCTATAAAAACTCTTGATCGACGGGGTCGAGTGCTGCCTTCTGGTTGAGCAATACAGCAAGTGTCGGAGGGCGGGAAGCGTGCATGTGTCCCACAACACAGAAAGGTTTAAAAACTTGTGAGTGATTGCAAATTGAGCCCACTGAAAATTTTAGCACAACAAGACATTTAAAGAAAGATATGTCTGACTTCACAGAGATTGAACTACTCCCTGAACGGCATGTTGTTGACTTGGAGTAGGGAGAAGATATTTTAGTGCTAGGTGAAGACGCTGACAAAGTGCAGGATATTCTGAACGCATTGAGCAGAAATCTGAGTGTTCGGCACGCATCTCGCACCTATCAAATGTGAAATAACGAACGAACGTAACCCACTCAGCTACCTCGTGTACATTCGTGCAGAAAGCAATGAGACACACATTGTGTGTGGGGGCTAGTAATAAAACCTGGCTGCCCAAACCTTAGTACGTGGAGCGAGGTTTGAAACCGTGACCCAATGGTTGACAGTCATCTCCCTAAACCACTGAGTCACAGCTCCAACAAATGTGAGATGATTCTCCATGACTGGTCTTAGACTCATCATCATCAATATTAACATACGACTAGGCATTACTGCGTGACGGTCCGAGTTGCTACATCTCATATCAGTACATCAAGTAGAAAGGGACTGAGGTGAAAAATCAAGATAAGAAAATTCAGTCAAAAGAAATACGAAGTACGAGAAGAAATAAAGGAAGAATGAGAAAATGGTGAGAACTGGCATAATGTTAAGATGAAGGCAATGTATGTATACATATGCGACACTGACATCGGTTCTCAGCCATATCACCTAGAATCTCCAACCACTGGTTCCTCTTGTCTCACCGACCCCAACCACCTAGTCTGCATCGTCCCACATGGCTCAAACCAACAGTCCAGTCAAACACTTCATACACTGATGTCATGTTTTAGTCTAGCCACCTCAGACCTTTTTCCAGCCTGGACCTACTTCAGCCAACATTGTGTGACTAGGCAATCGGCGACTAGGCATACGTAACACACGTCCAAACCATCTCAGTCGATGAAGGTTCATAACCTCGTCAACTGGTTTACCTCTTCTCCCTAAAACTCTATACCTGACATCTGCGTTACTCATGTGGTGCGGTGACACCACGAAATACAGCGTATACTACGAAGGCAACGGTGCTCAAACACTTGAAGCCAGCCTTCTCACGTCTTCCACCTTCAATGGGCATGTTTCACAGACATACAGGAGAACAGACCGGACTGATGTACAGGCGCAGTACACGCAAATCTTAATAGACAATCGAATATCACGGCGGCGCCATAAGTGAGGTAAGTTGGCGAAAGCCAGCCGAGCCTTTTGTATCCGTTCAGAGATCTCACAGGCCACTGAGTCACCAGGGCAGGGCTGATCCTACTCCCCAGGTAAGTGAAGTGGTCAACACACTCAATCACTACACTCTCTAGTGTTAGCCGTGGCACCGTTGAAGACCAGTCCTGGAGCAACAATTTGCATTTGGGTGGTGAGAAACACATCCCAAACATTCTCAAATTCTCACTCAAAGTGTTCACAAGACTCTGCATCTCATCAGTCAGAGTCTTCACCTAACAGGACTATGTCATCTGCATATTCTAGGTCTAATGAAAATTCTCCACCGATTAGGTCAACGTCTATGTAATCAGGAGATGAGAGGGACATCTCCATAAGAATATCTATGATAAAATTGAATAAGAATGAAGAGGGTGGGTACCCTTGACGGACATCGCTCGATGAGTCCAGCTCCTTGGACATCTCACCATAGGCTCTAACACGCCCACAAGTGTTCGAGTAGAGAACCTTCAATAAGGCGATGTACTTACTCAGCACGCTTTTCAGTGAGAGACATAGCCATAAGACTTCTCGATCAACGGAGTTGAATGCCACCTTCAGGTCGAGAAATATAGCGTCAGTAAGCGTCTGTGTTTCAGGACCTGGCTCAGTGTGAATATTCGGTCGATACATCCGTGGCCGGGTTTAAAGCCTGCCTGGTTTTTTCAAGTTTGTTCTTCCCGAGCTTCACTCAGGTGTCGAAGAACTATAGAACCTAGGATCTTCGACATTATTTTCGTCAGGCTGATTCCTCTGTGGTTATCACAAGAGGATTTCTCGCCTTTCTTGAAGACTGGAATAATCAGTGATTTAGACCAGTCAGAGGGGATCGTATTTAATTCCAATATACTGGTTAACACTTCCGTCAACCCGACTAAGAGCACCTTACCACTATCCTTGAATACCTCAAGGAGTTAGTCCGTCTGGTCCTCGTTTCAGGTTACCTACAGCTTTCTCGACTTCTACTAGTATTGGGGGGCCTATCTCAATGTTCCATTCAGGATCCGACTGGATAGCGGGCAACGTAATGGTGGCTGGAGGCCAGTTAAACTATTCCTCAAAGTGTTTTGTCCATCGTTCCAATCGTCTCTCTTGCGAGTGAATTGCAGATCCGTCCTTCTCCGCTATAGCCTTACTAACAGCAGTTGACCTTTTCCCCCCAGTCTCCTTAATAAGTCTAAATAACTGTCTACTGTTACCAATCGCCGCCGCCTTTTTCATCTCTTTAGCCTTTGCTGCCCACCACTGTTCACGATCGTTGCGTAGACTTTTCGTCAGTCTATTTTTAAGTTGCGCTCGCTCTTCATTGTACTCAGAGCCTGCAGGGATGCATTCACGTGCATCCATTAGTTTGGAAGAAGCTGTTGATATCCACTGGCTCTTTTTAGCCATTATCTTGGAGTCGGCTACAGTCTTCAGTGCTGCTTTTACAGCAGACTGAAGATAGCACCAAGCTTCTTCTGGATGAGTAACAGTATTTTGTTCCGATAACTGCCTAGCCAACTTCTCACTGAACACGGCTTTGGTGTTTTCGTTGTCCAGCAGCACTCGTAGTGGTTTTGTTGCCAAATTTTTTCTACGTCCATTGAGACGCAGGCATATACGCGCTCGGACCAATAAAAGTTCGCTATCCAAACACGTACTCCAGAAGGAGCGGCAGTCTTCTACCGATGACTAATAGCAATGTGGTCTATCTGTGTCCATCGCTGAGTTGAGCTCGGTGGACGCCATGTCAAAGTGTCTTTCTTTATGTCTGAAATTTGTGCTAGCTAAAAATAGGCGGTTATCTGAGCATAGTTGTAGTAGGCGATCACCGTTATCTGTACGTTCAGCTGGGATTCCGAAAGTGCCACCTAAGTGCCTTTATGCCTCACTCAGTCTACCCACCTGTGCGTTGAAGTCACCTGCAACAACCACCACGTCCGAATTTCGGCTTTCGAGAGGAGGTTAGACAGTTTGCGGTAGAACTCGTCCTTCACTTCATCCGAACTACAGTCAGTGGGTGCGTAAGCAGAGATTACAAAGAGACAACGGCGAGTCTCACTATTCCTTTTAGTTCTCACTGTGCCGTTCAGTCTCATAGCGCAGAGGCGACTATCAACTGGGATCCAGTCTAGTAGTGAGTTTTCTGCCCTGGTGCTTAATGCTATACCTACACCTGCAAGACCACGAGAGCTAGCTATCGAATCTCCAGAAACTCGAAGGGTGAATTTTGCAGATTCACCAGATTGGTCAGGAGAGGTCAGGTGAATAACCACACTTGGGTCCTGTATGCGTGTCACACAAACACAGCACACATCCATGCCCGAGTTGCTAGAGTCTTTGCCAACGAAGCCTGTTGGCCAATTTGACGGAGGGTGCGGACATTGAAGGCTCCAATATGTAATTTGGAGCGTGGTTTAAGGAGACCAGGATGCTGTTTTGTGAACTCAGATCGTTGTCGAAGGCTGCAGAGGTAGGAGAAGTCAAAGATGATGCAGCATCATTAATTGAGAGACGTGAAGGAAGATTAGAAGGTAATGGAGGGGGAGGTGGATAGCAGTCAGAGGAAACTTGAGTGCTGACAGAGTTGTGAGGGTGTTGACACTTCCCGGCTGCCCACACCGTGGAAGGCTATTTCTTCTTAAGGTACCTGAAAGAGATTTGTGTGACCGCAGAGCCCATTGGACATCTGCTTGAGGTTTGTCACACTCGGCCTTTTGTGCATGATTATTTCGAACTTTTGTATTTTTGGGGCCGGATGGTGGAAAAGAAACGACAAATGAACCAACACCGCCGGCCCGGTGGACCGTGGGGCATGGTGGAGTGTATTTTTGGGGGTCGACCTGTTTTAGTGCCCCTCTTTCCATCTGGAAGGTAGCATCAGCATAGCACTGCTGATCATCCAAAGGAAACACCTTACTGCTGTCACACCCCATCCAGCAGCAGTCCGACTTCGCTCTCAGACCTCCATCATACTGTAGTAATTTACACCACGATGGTAGCTGCTTTTCGTCTAACCACTATCTAACAGACCTTTCTGGTATGGTAGGACCTCGAGGGAACAAGTTTTCCACCAGCATAGCTCGTTGGGTCATTGTGATATGCAAGCCCGACTACCACGTCAAGGTAGCAGCTACCGGTCGGGACCTTCATCGACTGAGGTGGCCTGAATATGTGTTGCGTATAATGAGCCACCGCCTACCTGCCAGGCTACAGGAAGTGGCATTCGATTGGAAGAAGGCTTACGGTGGCCAGACAAATACGTGAAACCAGACCATGAAGTCTCTGTCTGTTGGTCTGAGCTATGTGGCGAAGTTTTGACTGGCTGACTGAAGACATCATGGTGATAGGAACCCATGGCAGGAGACTTTTGATGAAATGACTGAAAATCAGTCACAATAGCACAGGTTTATTCACTGTTTGACGTCTTCGATGACTTGATCATTTTCACCAAACTTCATTTTTAAATTTATTCTCCTACATTACATCTTTGTCTACTTTGATATCAGTCTTTCCTATACTTTTGTTTTTGCATTCTATTGTGAAGTGTGGCAACTTGAACCGATCTACTTGTGAGTGGTTCTTCATTGATTTCGTCTTTTGTCTATTTGGACAAGAGGAGCATTGAGTTGTTGTATACATCCTTCTTTATCTATGTCTCTTGTAAATACAGGGTTTGAAAAAGTGCTACATTCTGCAATAGAGCTAAGTGGTGACACTTCACTTTGCATCTTTGAAGATCCTTGGAAGAGAAATCAAATGAGACAGATTATAGTTGAAGAACGAAGGGAAATGAAACTACAACTTTTAACTGCACAAGGAATATTTTTTAAAAGAAATCGAACTAACTTGCTTTTCGTAAAACTCTTCAATAGTCATTGTCGGAAGACTTGGATACCCTGCACCGAATACAGCAGCTTGTGCGGCTGATCGGGTTATGATGAACGGCCGGAAAGGTTTTGCAAGCTTTACGTCTGCGTCGCTTTCACTCGCCACATCACCTTTTGAGAGCAGTTCTAATTCATTTTGTAAACTGATGATCTCATCCTGGGCAACACACAGCCACTTTTGGACGAGAGTTAAATTGAACTCACGCTACAAACAGAATATGAAAACACAGAACAGTGAATAATTGTAATTTTTTTTACGGATCTAGTAAATTGCACCTAGTGTAAAGGTTTCGAATGAATTCTTTGTTAGCATCTGCAAGCATAATTGCAGACTTAAAAAAAATTAAACCACGATCAGTCTATTAACGACCACCCATTAGTGTACAGTCACAAAAGAATCAACATTAAATTAACCAAAGTAAGACAAGGAATACTTTTCGGTGCTAGATAGTCAGATGGATATACAAGCACCATGTCAGAAGGTATGCATAAGTTGATATTTAATCACGCTATAAAGTACATCAATGCAAATAATTTCAGACGTTTCAGCAAATTGTTAGTTCGACAGAATTCGGCTGGGAATCAACAGATAAACAGTTACAATCAAAGTCCGACTACTTTACGTGAAATGCAACAAAAAAAACAAGTTTATATGGAAGATCATCCAGTTACACACAGCCAGTCCAGCATCCAACGATGAAGTCGACAGAAAAGGAGTAGAGTTAGGGTGGACAAAAGTTTAAGATGAGACCAGGACGAGAGTACATCGACCATACTTTCACCCTCCGACAGGTTATGGAACACAGGCATACCTACCGGCCAGTGGCCGACACATGTCATATTTGATGACTTGAAGGCGGCACTTGACTCACTCCTTTGACTGTGAAGAGATTACCGAGCAAGTATATAACGCTAGTCAAAGCTCTCTACTCGAACTCACGCACCCGTGTAACGGGTTATGGAGAATTATTACGTGAATTGACGACAACTAGTGGTGTCCACCAGGGATGTCTACCGTCACTTCGTTATAGAGGTAAAGGCAATAACAGGTACATCTGACTTTACAGGGACTGACCTACTACCCTGTGACCATTTGGCTGACTTGGAGTAGGCAGAAAATACTGTCCTGCTAGGTGAAAACGCTGACAAAACGTAATTATAGTCTTCTGAACGCGTTGAGCTGAAATTTGCGTTCGGCATGCGTCTCGCTGGCACCTGTCAAGTGTAAGATAACACTCTAAGACTGATTTGTTGCAAGTGCTCTCAGTTTAATAGTAGGGAATGAAGTCTTGGGATGTGTCGACTACTTTACTTACCTGGAAAGTTGCATCAGCCTGAACAGATTCGTTGCTAAAAAAACCTTAGCTCGGATACGGAGGGCCCGTTTGGCATTTCCCAACTTGCGTCACATGTAGCGCCTGGGAGATAATCAACTACCCACTAAAGGACGAGCATACTGCGCTGCAGTCCATTCCGTCCTTCTGTATGGGTGAGGCGACCGTTAAAAGCAGAAGACACGGAGTGGTCATAGCTGCTTGATAACAGGTATTTTCTTAACATTGCTAGCGTTTGGTAGAATCACCCTGTGAGCAATTTTGAGGTCAGAAAAACGGTACTAAACAAAACAGGCATGTTGACTGATGAAATGTGAACCTTAGTCAACTGAGATGGCTTGGATATGTAGTGAGAGTGCCGAGTCATCGCCTACCTTGACATGCCACGCTAGGAGAAATTGGACTAGGTAGAAAGAGGGTTCAGGGTGCCTAGACCAAGACGTGCATCAGTCGATGAAGTCTCTGACTACTGGTCTGAGTTACATGGGGAGATGTAGACTGCCTGGTTGGGGTTGTACTAACTAGTACCAACAAATCCAAGTCAGTAACCAAATAACGACACACCAACCATAGCACAATGTCATTCTCAAAAAACGCACAACAGAGGGACGATAAGAGAACCTATATTGAGAAACACAAAAGTTTGTCTATAAGACATAAGAGATGAGACTTGTTTATCTCAGCTTCAGACTGACAGATATAGAATAAGATCCCAAATATATCGAGTTCAGCATGAAAACGGAGTCACAACGAGTAACCTAAGAGTTGCAGCTCACAGTCTGGGGCACAGACCTGCACAAAGGTGAAATATTAGGATTATTTTGCACGTTATACTTATACTGGTGACTTCTAACATTCCTCCCAATGATTAAAAATCGACTTCACAGCTTCACAGTGTGATGTCAAAAAAAAAACTCTTTTGCTGGATTTTTTTCCATGCCTTTAGTGAACGAAAACCGTCAAATTCACAATAACAATTTTCAATATGTAAAAATGACGCACCCTAGTTTCTTCATCAACATGAGGTTGGTCGACGTAAGTGGCAAGTTTTTCTAGGCGTTCTTCCAACGTCTTTTTAAGTTTGTAACGCTGAATCTTGACTTCACGACTGCGTGCAATATCCAACATAGAACAATCACTTGCACTTTGACTTCTGGGTAAAAAGCACGAAAATAAACAATACTGTTACAAAAGCAACAAATGTGTTTGTCATGGCGGCTCCTACAAGACAACACTCCTTAGTTGCCACTGTGACTGCAAGTTTCACTACACCCATAAACCTCATGGGGCACTCATCGCACGCCACTTCAACAGAAGGTAACCTTACTCAAGTAATTTAACATCATGCTTTGGTCTTCGGACAATGTTGCAGTCGCTAAAATTAACTCCACTACACAAAGCATAGATAAGGACGTCATCTCAAGAAAACTGAGTTGTTTTGTCACAATAATGCTAACACTGAAATTTCGCACATTTGAAAATATCATAAACGTACTCCTTGATGCACAGATCCTGTGGAAAAGGTACACTGTACTCAGTACACAATTTGGAAAAGTCCTTGTACAGGGACTAACGCAAAACAATCAAGAAAAATATATCATACCAGTGCCAAACGAACACAAGATATCCGGTCTTCGCTTTTCTGAGCGTTAAAATATCCAAGCAGAGCGGGAAGGCACAAGTACCTAGATCAAAAAGTTACCGATAAAAGCCGGTACTACCTTATTTCAGTAGCACTTAAATCATCTAAGCTTTCGTTCTTGCTAAATAAATGCAATTCGTTCACCATCTCCATCGCTTTTTCACAAAGCTGACATGCAACCACCAGCAAATTCTGACAAGTTAAATTAGAATTGAATTTTTACCTTGAACTTAGGTTCTGTGTAGGATCCGCTGTACTGTGAAACATCTAAATACTTTGCTACCACCTGAGTGAACAAGTCCGGTAGTCTTTCTCCCATGACGACCTTGAAATCCAAATGGTGATGCTTGTTGATCACGGGATTGAAATCCTAATGCCAATCAATAATTACCTTTCCTTCTGAGTTGAAATTATTTTATAACTTTTCCTTTAGTTGTCAGTCAAGGTGAAACTGGGCTACCAATATGCGAAACCTCATGGTCCAATTGGTCCTATCTATGGAAATCTGTGACCCATATATATGTTACCCACACTGATTTGGAACAAGAACCGTGATTCTCTCTCTCGCCTATAGTCTAGAGAAGCCCACGTAGGAGCTCACAGCATGTAAAAGCCCAGCCGCCTAAGAGCAGAACAGCAAACTTGCATCCACAGGTGAGGCGCATTCACAAAAGTTTACCATAGCTGGAATACATAAACCTCTGAAATTTGGAATAGGCCAGGCCCGGAAGATTATGCTATCAAACTAGCAAAACGACCGAATTTTCCTGGAACACTCGCACACCCTATCGCTTCCTGTCTGAAAGACTTTAAAATGTAGGGTTTTTCATTCAACGTAGGTTGCTTACATTAGTATTTCTGAATGAAATAAATATGACTAGTGGGTCAAAATGGTGGCTCCTGCCTTTCACGCTTTGAACTTTGATTTTATAAAGACATTTCCAATGTCAACTAACTCATGTACGCAGGGATTTCCCTCTCAGAGATGCAAACTTTCAGACTAAAACGATGTTCTGCATTTTGACTATTTGATAATTTAGTTGTTTTAGGTATGCAAAATTTCGTATCTGGTGTAGAATTAAACACACTCTGCCAGAACCAAGTTGGGTGATTTTACTCCTTTTGATTGTATCATCAGCTAAATGAAGTTACCTAGGTTCAGCGTGATGTATTTAATCACTGTATTTAACAGTTGTGTGTGTTGAACCTGGGAAAATGAATTTCGAAATTCATGGCTCATGCACGGAAACAGTGGCAGTGCCAGTGATGTTCGTTACTGAGTCCGCAACGACGATTATTTTCGTATTGCAATCAAGTATGTCACATGGAATAGGCAGAATGGCTAAACATTATGTAGCTAGGCGTGTAATCATTTGCATCAAACTGAGGCCATTAACAGCATCGAGGCATCCCAGCTAAAGCCTCCATGCCAATACTGAAGATCGATTCAGTGAAATCAGCGATAGGGGACAATAAGCCACAACACCAGAATATACCTGTTGTGGTAGGAATGGCAATAATCACTCAGTAGCTCGGTTGACAAAGCTTTCTTGATGGGATTATCACTTCAGTCAAGTCCTTTTGGAAATGACACTACTCACTGAGGGATAAGTGCATTCATCTTGCAGGGTTTTTGATTTTCAGAGGTCACTAACTGGATCTAAGTCTACAAAACTCCGTATAGCCGTTCGTTTTTGCTGGCGTTAAAATTTCAGACGAAAGGGACAGAAGGCTACGCAGGACCTAAATCAAGGTCGTATTTTACGAAGATATAACCCTTTGTTTCAGAACACGATCTACATGATGTCTAACCACCGGCCCTTCCTAAAATAAAATGTCTGGTTTTATACTTTGGCTCTGCATCCAACAGAAAACTGACTTAGTGAAGCAACTCAGGGCAACCATAGAAGTCCTTTTTGCAGCTAACGATGGTTCACACTTGTGCAGTCGTTGAGTACATCAGCGAGCTTTGTTGTACGGCTGGAAGGTAAAATGACCAGTCAAAGGTAGTTTTGTATACACCGGTTCTCAGATTCTTGTTACTTAGAGACTCAGGTGCTTTCAGCCACTTGTTACCCCTTGTATGTCATTCCGAATTGTGCAAGAAAGTTTCAATAATAATAATGATATATTTCATGCAGCATAAGTTACATGAAAACAAACCAGTCTACGGGTAGTACAGCTGTAACCTTGGGCTTTATGCGTTCGTCATAAGGTCTAGGGGGCATAGTGCACACTGACAAATTAGACTACTAGGATTCCATATTGATGAAAGACTGGTTGAGTAAACCTGAAAAATGAATAACAAAAGCGAGCAGCAGACGGAATTTGGAACCGGAGCACAGAAATACTACGCAGAAGTACATGGACAGCGATACATGTAGGTAAGTTCATTGTACCGACTACAAAAGTTACTTAAAGAGGAATCCAAAACCTACTGTTTATAGATAAGCTTACGGGGAAGACGATGAAGGTGAATACAAAAGTAGTGGAAACTAAACTGAAGCCGAAGATATCACTATGGAATACAGAGAGTAGAAGATTTTGGACCAGGCATTCGCTTAGGCGTAGAAAACCTATGTACAAAAGTTTAATGAAGTTATAGACATCCAACTAGAACTCATGCTTTTTGCTGTGATGGTAACCACAATTTATATAGTCATGGGGGAGGGATGGTCACGGCGCTGCCTGTTGAGTGTCACCATATCAGGACTATAGAAACAACATGGTGGTGCATAGTGAGCCGGGCTAGCAGACTTGGAGGACTTTTTTTGGTAACCTCATTCTTTTCACCATCATTTTGTCGTCATGAGCACGAGAGCCGTAGGTTTCATAAAGATACCGCCATAGAGGCAAGGGTAGTTCAAGTTTATCTCCCTACCATCATGCCTCTTGGTCAGTTATCTTCATCTTCGCATATTTCCGCAAAGATTTTTCAAATAATTTTGTGCTGTGCTCAACAGAGTCGATGGTTACGAGGATATTTCCAGCTTGCTGTCAGCTAGCTAAGACCGTGCATACACTATTGACTCAATCGCCCCTTGGTATATACCACAAGTCAGGCAACACTCACGACCATTATACCTCCACTCATGCAATAGTCAAGCTTGATCTATCACGCAAAACTGACTTGCACTACTGTACAGCACAAAGACTACCAGCTTATTACAAAGAAAAAAGGTAACGGTGGGTGGAATGTTTAGTTGTAGGAGGGGTTTGGAGTAGCTGAACTATGGCAGCATAGAGATTAGGAACAGTAACTAGCATCAAAACAATTGCCACAAATTTGCATAGAATATTAAGTAAGTCAACAAAAATAACTCACTGTTTGATAAATTCTTGGGTGGTTGCAATGGATCATTGCGTATTTGACTCTACATATTTGGTGGGCCAATAAGGAACATGGCGTCGTCTGTGTAGGGTACATTAAGAATCCTGCATACTCCAAGTACATTGAGGTAGTGGTCCAAGGTCGACTGTTATTGAGGTATGGTCTTGCAGCATCGGACATCATGCAGCAGTCTGTTCCAAATGTTAGCGTTACGAGTTGTGAAAAATGAAGACTTGATCTGTTCGGACGCGTATAGTAGTGTACATCATGGCATTCTGGTATTTCTTATTGAAGCATTCTTGGAGCCCACTATTTAGGATCTTCCTCTCCCTCTACATGTGACGCAACTGGAAAAGCAACTCACTTGTAGCGCACTTTTCCATTCTCCCAATCCACACCAGGATGAATACCACCGCCAGACGTTCTACTCAGTGGTTGTTGCACTGCATGAAGCTTCCGTGACCCTAGTTGCCAATCACGATCCAACTTTCGTGGGAAAACGGCTAAGCGTGGCCCGTATCTGCGACACTACAATTCCATTATAGGCATTAATTCGCATATTTTCCTCTGTGAGTTACTCAAATATTGAAGGTGCTCCATCAGAATCCAGTAAAATCCCTTTTGGTCAACACTTTCGCCAGTGCGTCCGTGTGTAGTGCGCCTTCCTGGCACCAAAATATAACTAAAGCTAAAATAAATAGCTTAAATTAAATCAACTAAATAAATCTCTAGCTTGCCTCCGGATGCTTAGAGTGTTTTAAGTTTTGTTTAGCGAGCATGCTTGGACGCCATTTTGCCCTCCATTGTGCTGGTTACCACACACGTACTCCGAGTACCTAGTTCAGCCTTACAAGGCAGATAGGCTGATTAAACTTTCCCCCATTCATTATTATTACATTTACTTTAATTAAATACATAGCTCCTTCAAATACATTGTGTATCAGTTCTTTTGATTTGTGTTTTGTTACCGGTACTTACACGTTAGGCAAAGTACTGGTTAAGCAGGTACTAGGGCACATCAAGTTAAGTAGGGTTGATCAAACGTTACGAAATTGCAATACGCACTCCTACACGTGTATTCAGTCAACCCTATTCCTTTCCTTCAGATGGTTAGCAGAAAGTTCGTCATTTTTCCTTCATAACGTTAAACATAAATAGAGCTCCCCCATGGAATTGTTTCAAACCTCAACGCATAAATGTTCAAGATAACTACTGGTGATGAAGTTCTCCTCCTCGAAGTCATCGGCTTCAAAAATCCTGTCAAACTGCCTGTAACTTTACCCGCAAAACGCCTCACACCGCCAGGAAAGTAGCGGTGGATTCAGGTTGTGTAGATTCAGCCCTTCATTAGAGGGGTCGTTTAATACAGGCATTCTTGGGCCTGAACAACGTCCCGCCGGTAACTGTTGGTATCATAACGTGGTAGTGAAATAATTAAATATCATACAACAACTTTGATACGCTGACGACGTTTAGGTAAAAAAGAAAAATGCACCTAAGCAACAGCATCTTTCCACGTATACGTTCCTGACAATGTAATTTCTTTGATAGTTCAAAATCAGAACTACTTTTATCTGTAGTGCACATAAGTTCTGAATAACAGTGTTTGAGCGAATAATCCCACAAAATTAATGGCCTGAGACTCTCTGAAACTCAGTCCTGGTGATGACCTTCCTAGTTTTGACAGACTGGTTAGGCTAAGTGCACTCAACCGAGCGTCCATTTCACGAGACAAGCTGTCGTATTAAGTTGCACTGCTCGTTTGCAATATTCTAGTCAGCTTGTTCAAGCATCTCCGTATCTTGGCACAATTCATTCAATACACTATCCCTGCCTATCTACGCTACTGTGTTATCCCCTGGCGTTACACTAATAAGTATTCAACGCTTATGAGGAATTAGTTGTGGACCTGTATGTCTCGGAAGGTTACAAACAGATGACTCGTGAGAACCTTGAAACGATACCGGCTGGAATTAGAAACCTGATAATAATAATAATGGCGATGTAATATGTTTCATATA